AGTGTTTGTCATCGGGGTCATAAGATCTCTTTCTCACTTCTTTAAGCATTACTTTTGGCTTTAATTTGTGGGAAGCAGGCAGCAATGCTAATAATCTTTAATCGTGAATCTGGTCAGCTGCACAATTTTTTTTGAAAATAACGATGTACAGAAAGAGTCATTCTTGTGAGTTGGCAAAGCCAAATAGGGTAGGAAAAAATCAGGGTTTGTTTGGATACACTTCTCCATAAGGACAATTAGGAGAGAAAAATAAAAAGAAAAAAATGAAGTTGACTTATCCATAAGTTAAATTTAGCTTATATACATGTTAATTTATAGAAATTCTTTTATAACTTCTACAGAATTTTATTTTTAACTTGTGCATAAATTCATTTTAACTTTATAGAAGCCAATTGCATTTTCTTTATATTTTTCTCCCTTAGAAATCCTTATTGAGAAACTCGTCCAAACAAACCCTTAATAATATTCAAGACATATAGTAATTTGCTAACGTTTGGTTAGAAATCTAGTTTCTACTTTGAAGAAGGACTAACCTCAATAAAACAAGAGAGCTGTGGTACCCAAGGTTCAATTGAAATGTAATATGTAAAAAATAAACCAAATAAATATAGAATGATCTTCAAGATTGGTCCAGCCTGTTATAAGAAGGAGAAGAAGTAATCGGGGGATTGTATGCCTAGATGAAGCAATTTTCTTGCCTTTGAACTGTTGGTCTTTATATTATTCGTGAGAATTGTCAACTCGTGCTGCCTTTTTCTTGCATCCACATCTTCAGTCGTATAAATATACATGGATAACACACACGCAAACGCATATAAATAGAGTGGTGAGATATAGACCACTCATTTTATCAAACACCCCAAAAACACCCACCTATGTAACTTTCTTTATTATTTTTTATCTTGTTTTATTCCTCTTTTTAGACACTTAGAAATAGGGGTGTTGGGACTGTGCTGGGCATCCATTTATCTTTTTCCATATAATTAACATTTTAATATTGGGCAGGTGAGAGCGACATCCTACTTTAACCTTGGCATGTCAAGTTCTGATGAGTCTTCAAAAGAAATTCCAAAAGAGACTTCAGATGAAGAGGTACAAAAACCAGTAGCAGAAGGTAGTGCAGATTCTGAGCAGGAAAGCAACTCTGGACCTGATTCAGAACATACTATTTTAAAACAAATATCAGATGAAAAGCCACAAATTTTTGATGGAATCTTGTCTGAAGCACATGCTGAAGGAGAGGATGGATGGCAACCAGTTCAAAGACCAAGATCAACTGGCTCATATGGCCGGAGACTGAAGCAGAGACGGGCAACACTTGGCAAAGTTTATAGTTACCAAAAGAATGTGGAAGTTGGCATGGAATCTCCTTTTGTAAGGAATACTAGTCCAAATAGTAGGTATTATTTCCTGAAGAAGCGGACAATTTCCCATGGGGGCTATACAGATGATCATACAGTAAATATCACCCAAGGCCCTAAATTTGGAAGGAAAGTTGTTAAAGCTGTTGCATACAGGGTCAAATCTACACCCTCAACTTCCAAGACTAGTGCAAATGAGACGTTAGAAACTGCTGACAAGCTGTTTACTTCTCGTTCAGAACCTGATGCAATTGATGTTAATCCAGTTAAGAATTGTATAGTTAGTCTTGGAAAGTCTCCTTCATACAAGGAAGTGGCCATAGCTCCTCCAGGGACAATCTCCAAGTTGCAGGTCTATAATCCTTCAAGTGAGATTTCTGTTAGCTGTGAACATGATGGTGGCAAACATGAAGAGGAAGATATTGAAGTTAATAGGAATGTTAATCCAACCCCGGCAGAGGCAATTGATATGAATAAAGAGAAGAATATTAATTCGTTTTCAGATTCTGTTGATGATTCACAGGATGATACTGGAGTTACTGCTGAGGGGAAAGAGGAAACTGAGTTGATTGTTGCTGCGCAAGATAATTGTACTAGTGCTGATGAGCAATCAGGAGACGTTGAAGCTCAAGGAGTAACCGATAATAGGATATTGATTCACGAAATAGATGATCATGTGGATTCTTCCAAACAAGAACTTGATGCAAGTAATTCATCTGGCAGTTTGGAACCTAGTTATAATACAAATCCCACTTCCCAAGGTGGTGAAAATTTAAGGGTCAATGTGTCATCATCAAATCAGAGTCATGCTGGTGGCGTTCCTAATAAGAAATTGTCTGCATCTGCAGCTCCCTTCAACCCATCACCTGCCATTGCACGTGCTCCACCAATTGCTATGAATATGGCTCTTCCTTCTGGTCCTAGTGCAATTCCTGCTATTGGCCCCTGGCCAGTAAACATGAATGTTCATCCTGGACCTACTACTGTGCTACCTGCAGTTACCCCGATGTGCTCCTCTCCTCACCATGCATATCCATCGCCTCCAACTACACCAAACATGATACAACCACTGCCATTTATGTATCCTCCTTATACTCAACCTCAATCAGTACCACCTAGCAACTTTCCGGTCACTAGCAGTGCCTTTCATTCCAATCATTATACATGGCAATGTAATTTGAACCCCACAATATCTAAGTTTGGTCCCGGTGCTGTTTGGCCTGGTTGTCATCCTGTAGAATTTCCTCTTCCGGTACCTATTGTTGAACCAATCCCTGACCCCCTTTCCGAGTCACAAGTTCTGTGTCATGGTTCTGAAAGTCCAAGTTCAGCTTCGGTTCTTCCTGAGGACATTGATAATATTGGTGATTCTAATCAATTGATAAAAACTTTAGTATCAGACACAAGTGAGGATGAAGCAGTGAGAGCTGGTTCAGAAAGCATAAAAGAAAACGGTGATATGGGTTTACATGGGACTGAAAACTCTGGGAACAAGCAAAATCAAAACATTGGTTCAAATGAGAACTCTAGCAGTAGTGAAGCAAACATGGATGGGGAGAAAACCTTCAGCATTTTAATTCGAGGGAGAAGAAATAGAAAGCAGACTTTGAGAATGCCAATAAGTTTGCTTACTCGACCTAATGGGTCACAGTCATTTAAGGTTATTTATAACCGTGTAGTTAGAGGAAGTCATGCTGCCAAGTCTATCAATCTCTCGCCAAATAAAGATTGTACTGCTACTGCTTAATCTACAGTTTGGTTTTTCGATCATTTCTGGAATTAAATTACAAATACACTGCAGTATCAGCTTCAGTTTTATAGCTTCACTATCTCATATGCGAGGTTTCTGGTAAGTTTTCCACTTCCATATCTTTATATTTGCTGAAGTTAACTTTATATATTTGAAATTTAAAGAAACCGTAAATTAGTGAATCTTTTTTACCTATAAAATCAGATTTGACTTGCTAAATCATTAAAATTTATGAAATATTGCAGTTACCTGTCTCTGTTAGGATGGAGTATTGAAGGCGCTTTTTCATCAATATACGGTATTATCTCACTGGCAAAAAAAATGAGCTATTTTATTCGTTCTTTTTCCCAGAAATCACAGTTTTATATTTCCATAATGCACTAAAACAAACTATGTTTGCTTAAACATGAAGTTGCCTGTGGAGCAGCATTTATGCCAAATAATCTTGCTCAGCTTCGTCGCAGTCAGTTTCACGGTTTCTGAGGCACCTTCAAGGTGAAATTTTTGATATAATGAATTACGGGACTAGTGGATCGTTCCAATTATTATTTTTTTGTTAAAACATTACCTTTGATTTTGATAACTAATTTTGTTCAATTGTATATACTTTCTTAATTTCTCGATATTTTGTTAGCTAATAGCGGTTCTTTTTTGTTAATTGACTTGGTGTTACGACTGGAATCATGTGATTAAGATTCATATCGGTGAAGATCATTATTTTTCAAATACTCAAGTCAAAAGTTTAGTACTATTCTTGACTTCCTAATACCCTCTGTTCCAAAACTATTGGTATTAAGGATAGTACACATTGATTAAGATTCATTTAACAAATGTCGAATAGTAATGCATTTTTTCTACAATAACCCTTATTTAATATAAAAATAGTAAATGTGGTTTTTTGTTGTTGAAGAAGTATCTTTTACGAGGTGAGTATCTATGCTTCACTGTGACTGTATGCGTGGGTATGTAGTATGTATACGTCATATTGCTTCATACTCCTCATAAATACGATAAAATTTACAATTATGAATTATTAAGGTTTGTTTCAAGAATCGAAGGAATCTTAAAAGAATAAAAAAAGAACCAAAGGAAAATTTGGTTCTAATTTTTTTTATAATGGAAGAAATAACCGTTAATTATAAGTTCTTTTATTAATACTGGCTGTCAATGTTTAAACCGGGTATTAAGCGCACAAGTTCATCAAGGTAAAGGAATCACTGATCCACATCGAGAATCTTAAGCAAATTGTAATTCAGCTGGTAATGCGACGAACTTTGTAAATTGTATGTTACTACTGATTTTTAAAGAGAGGACTACGGGCTACAGTTAACTCATTTTTAGGAACAAATCTCTTTAAGAAGCTAGTGAATGAATGTAATATTTTGTCACTCAACAAAGAACAAAGATGCTTCTTAAATTCTAATACATATAATCTCCAGAAGAAAAAAAGCTACGAATTACAAAATGTAGCTACGAATAGAAAGCCTTTTATGAATCGTCATTTACATTGTTGGCAAACTTCAAAAAGAAATCCAATGAAGAATGAATAAGAAAAAAATAGACTGAATCTTGTGAAATTGAGTGAGAATGCCAAACAGGATTGTCCCACTTTAGCAACCATGGAGGTGGATATATATGCATGCATTTCCTTCCACCCGTATGTACACCAGGAAAGCATACCCAGAAATGGCAACATGCTGAAAAGAATTCAATGATATGCCCCTACACAAACTTGAGAACCAGAATGTATGGACTGGTTTAATTGAACAATTGACAACGTTTGTGGAAGTGCAAAAGTAGTAGCAATCACATTCCCCCTGCGTCATAAAAGTGGTATAAGATAGTTAACAGATAGAACTATCACGTTCTGTTTTTCAGTACCATTTCCACTAGAGAGAGATTACATAAAACGAGGGAAGAAGAAGAAAAGAAAGGGCTTGATTACTTGGAAATGTAGCTCCTCCAACAGGGTCTATTTGGAAGTTAGGAGGTAGAGAACGCATCTCTGATCTTTTCAGATAAGCCAATGCTTCAAGAACAATAGCTGCAGCAACCACTATACCAAAAAGGAACCCATAGCCTATTTTCCAATCACTTCCTGCCCCGGCAGCTTTCATCCCCAAAACTATGTTAATGGCTGCAAATATGAGTGCCAACCTTCCAAACCAGCTGTGGTAACAATTCCACATTTTTCGGATCTTGGAATCCTTGTTTGGTCTCAAGATTAATGCAAATATCTGAAGTTAGCTCTAAAGTTAGTTCAGATTGTACTTCTCAGAGTGCTAGATAAAAGACTTAATATTTTAGGTTCAGTTTGGATAAACTTTACAAAAGGAGAGCATAAAAAAAAATGAGTTAAAGTTCTCCTATAAACTTTTTTTTATTTTAGCTTCTCCAAAAGCTTATTTGAGCTTGTATATAAGTTAACTTTGATTTGTGAAAGAAACATAATTTATTTATATTTCTCATTTCCTTTTGCTATAATTATTTGTATACAAATTTATCCAGACAAGGATAGATATGCGTCACTGACAAACCTGAAGAATAGTCAGTACGAGGACAAAGATACCTATGCCTCTGTGAGCTTGTATATGGGCATGCATTTTGGAATAGAGTTGTAATCCAAGAACGACTGTAGTAAGCCCAAATGTAAATCCCACAAACTGAATTATTGCATGGAGGTAGAACCATAAGGGATCCTTGTGCCTGAAATATCTAGCAATAATTGCCCCTACAGGAAGGATTAGACCCCACCCTATTATGCCCAAAATTCCATGTTTCGTCCTCATCTGAATCAATTCATGGGATACAGGACCCGTAGAACCTGTCAAAGTATAGCTGATCAAGTTTCTGCACTCAAAAGGAGCATGTGGTTGTTTAATATATTGTTCTATAGTAGCATGTGATTCACTGAAGTTAAATTTTGCTAAAAGGAGCTGAAGAGAATTCTATTTGGAATTGGAAACAACTGTTATTATATGCAACAAAATATAAAATGACATATTTGCAGACACTGCCGTTAAGAGTAATAGATAAAAATGATTTCTGACCTGCAGAAAAATCAAAAACAATGGTTGTTTTGTCTTGATGCTTGGAGAGATGGTGGTTCTGTGGATATTTACTACCAAAAGCCAACAGAATTGGCTGTTTCTGAAATGGGGTTGTCATCTGCAACTGAAATGCCAAATGAATTTCAGCCCCATTAATTGCCACAGCCGCAGGGACATTATTGAGGGGGAGTTCTCCTTTGTCTATTATGACTTCTGATGGCCTCCTACCCTGTAAGTAAAATTGCTTGATTTTTGCATGACCATGTTTACTAATCCATCCCACCATTGCACTGGAACCAACCATCATACCATCTTTAGAAAATCCAATTCCTATCCACCCTATAGTGTAGGGAGCAGATAGTATGATAGTTGTGGTATCACCATTCTTGATGTACTGCAATAAAAGATCACTACTGATCTAATTAGATTGTAAAGGAACAACCTAGTCATCCACAAATTAAGAACTAACCTAGTCTTTACTATAGTGCCATAGCTCTCACCCTCCTTTCAAATTAACAAAACAAAAAAATTCTAGCTAGATTTTAGATTTGGCTTGAAAAAAACAGCTCATTATGTACAAAATTCTGTGCTTGCATAACAAATGAGGCCAATCTGAACTAAATCAAAGTGAATTAGTTTCAACAAATGAAGAGAAAAAAGAATAGTTGAATGGGTAGAACTAGAACCCACAAACAACAAATTGAACTTACCCTCAATTCAAATGTATGCCATACAGGTGAGCATATCATGTGGGATATATTCTGGTACGGTGGAGGGAGGAAACTTTGATAATTTGTGTTCTTGCAGGCTGCAACACCACCACTTCCACTGTCATCAGCCAATGCTGTGTTGAAATGCAAGATAAAAATCAGAACACATAGCCTGACAAAAGATGGCCATATCTGAGTCCAAGATCTACTATTTGCCATTCATAGACTTGGTTAAGTGAGATCCAAGGCTAGGAGCAATAGTGGTAGCAAAATTCAGCAAAAAGTGAGGAAATGTGAACAGGAAGGCCAATCAAGGAAGCTGAGAGTGAGACTTGAGAGATATTAGTCTCTTGCATTTGAAGGTTAAAGTTTGGTAGTTGTTGTGGGGTTCAGTGGTTGGTACTGATAGCTAATCATCACACTCCCTTATATTCTTGAGAACTCAATATCAGCATAATTTCTATACCTCAACTTTTTCCTGTTAATACATCATTTCCATATTTATTCATTCTCCAAATACATTCAAGTGTTAAATACTTTCAACCACAAGAATTGAAGTAATGGAACGTAAATCTGCAATAATTTGCCTTCAAACGAAACGTTATCTGCTTGTTCTTCCCAATAATCTAGCCACTTGAACTGTACTAGTACGGCATAAATAAAACTGGTCTAACCCACTTGAAAATAAATGTTATTTACACAAGACTCTCATATTATTTTTAATACTTTCTTTATTATCGGTTGAAATTTATTAAAAATTATAACTTTACAATTATCTCACTTTAATCAAATATTTTTTTTCTTGATTTTCGATCAATTTTATTCAATAATAAGCATATAATGATTATTTGCTTCCAGACAAGACGAGTGGTCAATAATGCTACCCGTCAATATTCTTCAATTATTTTTGTCGTTTTGGTTTTTTGTAAACCACAAACTATGATGTGTGTGAGTAACAGCCACCCAAAACAAATTCATGTGCTGTCGGTAATTCATTTCATCGCTTTTTGTGGGAACATTTTGAACCAGATTAAATAAGTTGTCAGATTATTTATATGAGAAGAAAACAAGATGAATTATTTTTCTTGTATTAGTTCAAATAATATAAAAACTTAGTTGCTGTTTTTTTTTTTATGTAATTAACTACCAATAAACGTGTTAGAACGAATCATGGTTGTCATACAAACCCATTAATAATAGGTTCTACAATTGCTATAAACTAATCCAGTATGCTTGTTTTTTAATACAAGAAACAGAAAAGTATATAATGCTTCGTTTGTTTAGAACCATAAAAGAGGGAAAAGCAAATGTTTCTCCCCGTCGTTTCTTTTTCTCACTCTATTAATATTCGCAGTTATTCACAAAATATAAACAATATACTAGTTTCTCATTATATAAGGTATTGGTGTTTTTTTATATTTTATTTTATATTTTTTTTGAAACATTTGCAGTAAAAATATGAAACATGTGATTTTTTTAATATGTCATTAATTACTAAAGACTGAGTATATGTATGATTCGTAGTTGTTTTTTAACCATTAAAGATATTTAAATAACTTCAAATTATGGATATTGCTACTAACCATATTATCATAATTTAAGTAATGATGGTAAAGAAATTATTATTTAGTATTTATATACACAATAACATACAATCCTATGCAGAGATGATCTTGAGATTTATTCAATCTCATTTTTTTCTAGCGATAGTGAAATTTAAGTGTAAATTGAAATTTCATATTAAATAATACACCTTATATATATTTGATGTAATCTTTTCTAGTAACATAAAATACAATATAAAATTTAAGTGTGAGTTAAATTTTTATATTAAATAAAAATAATAAAATCGAGTATAATGTGAAAAACATGTATTGGGGCTTTAGATTAAAGGTAAATAATTTTTTTTATGGTTATCTTCTCCTTATTGATTAAACCCATAAACGTTAAATCCTCTCTTAAAATCGTAAGACATACGTTACTCAACTCCCGAACTAATCAACCTGAGGTACCCTATAAATATGTTCCTCACCACTCTCCTCATCAAATTTGGCAATCCATGAACTCTTTCTTCTTTTCTTCCCACAATCTACTTTAACCCCACTTCTCTTATTTCTGTCATCATTCATGCAAATGCATGTAACTCCCATGTCATTCCCTAAAGGATGGTTTATATATCTTACTTCTAATCTCTCGTATTTTTCTCTTAGATGCCATCTTAATCCTTTTTTATCACATAGCATATTTTTGGCCACCACTATTGATCTTTTGAGATTAAGATCAACCAGTTTGAGCAAGTTTGTGTAGTTCTCATCCTTGCAATCAACTAGAAAAAAATCAATGTTCTCATAATAGGATAATAGCTTTGAGGGGTCTTCAGTTCTAAATTCTACTTGGTCTTCAAGCCCTGAGTTGATGATAACTTCTTTTGACTCATCAAGGAGTGACTCGGGAATCATACACACCATTCTGCCACCTGTTTGTCTTGCAGCAACTGCTAGAGCAATTGTGTACAGGGACACACAATATGTCACTTCTACCATAACTTTGGCTTTCATTCCTGCTGCTAATGCTGATACAAATTCATTGCTTCCCGGATTTTGAACTCTCCAATTTCCATATTGTCTTTTTTTATTCTCACACTGTCAAAATGTTACAGACAATTTAAACAATTTCAGATAGCCCTCTTGTTTGAAATCATCCTTATATTTGTTTGGAAAGTAGAGAATTTATTCATACATATCCTAAAAACAAAAATGTTTAGGATTATTCTACCACAAATACTTTATATAATGAAACATCTCAGGGATGAATCTACATACATTCATCTGAGTACAATATAATTTATATAAACATTAACAAATAGAAGTGGATAATTCATAACTTCTCATAGATGTTGGAAAAGAACTGTGAAGCACATCTGATAAATACAACCACACCTTGAATTGATTCATAAAATAAATAAAACAGAGAGGTGAATATACCAGTTGAAGGGTATCAAGATAGGCCCTTGAAGCAGATTTTGAAGACCACTCCATCGCAAAAACCAACCAAGATTATTCACACAAAAACTGTGTGCAGAAGTTTACTCACAAGTCCAACTTACTAAGCAGTTAATTCGGGTAAGGATCAAAGAAACCGAAAGCAAACGAGGTCGGAATTAGGAGGTAGGTAGCTCGTTTGCTTGGTTTCGTTTTTGTTATTAATGCTAATGTTGTGTACCTTCTGAAAGTTATTTATATGAAAAGAGAAGAGAAAAGAAATGTTATGTCATGTGATGTGCGTGCGTTGCAAGAAGAGAGCGTGGTCAAAGCGCGAAATCATGCAACGTAGGAAAGGGAGTTTCGGTTACAACTTTCATGGACTTCGTTAAATTTGTAAATATTTATTGTTTCCTCTTAACCAACAGATTTGCACTGCTACGCTGTGTCCTACTCATCGCATCTGATTGTGTCGTGCGCTCAAATGCATGATTACTTTTATTAATTTCTCAACATGTTGTGTCAATCAATGTTTGGATTAATTTATTTTGGAGAAACAACTTTAACTGCTACATTTAAGAAGAATTTTGAAAAATGAATTCAAAATATATGAAAAAAATAGGCTATACATAAACAATAAATACTATATATTACTATTTAATAAAATTTGTCATGTATGTAATTTGATATTTTTTTTTATAATAACTACTTTAAAAATCATGATGATGTATAATTTGGTGTTATAATTACATTACGTGTTCAAGGACAAAATTATGTGTATTAACCTATTTTCTTATAATTTAAATGTATGGGCAAAGTTTTTTATTATATAAGAAATAAAAAAATATTCATTACGAAAAGTCATGGGGGTGTAGCTCATATGGTAGAGCGCTCGCTTCGCATGCGAGAGGCACGGGGTTCGATTCCCCGCACCTCCATTTGAATTATACTAAAACTTTCTTTTTCTTTTAATTTTTTTCCAATTTTCTTTCAATAATTTTTTATTTATTTTTCCAAATTTTTTAACTTTCTGCCTGCAGTTCATTTTTTTATTTATTTTTCCAATTTTCTTTCTATAATTTTTTTAAAATTTCACTTTCCAATTTTGTTTTTTAACTTTCTACCTGTAGTTCATTTATATTTATAATTTTTTGTAATTTCTTTTCCATTTTTCTCTCTATAATTTTGTTAATTTCTTTTCCATTTTTCTCTCTATAATTTTGTTAATTTCTTTTTCCAATTTTGTTTTTTCAATTTTTTTGAACTTTCGGCCTGCATTTCATTTATGGGATGTAGCTCATACATCTTGTGTCATGAATTATGTGGCTTCTCTCGGTAACAGATAGCTGTGAAATCTATTTAATGATTCACAAGAGCTCCAAGAAAGGCTTGTTTTCAACCCCTCAATGAGTAAACATATTTTGATTGAAGATCTTGAATCGTAAGATGGTGCTCCTATTTATACCATCAAACGAACCTGAAATTATCCAAATTTTAAGAAAGAAGCAAATCAAATTAAACCGTTTATAATAACGGTTTGATTAATCGAATGGTTTTTGTCAAGCTTATCGGTTCAATGGATAATTAATGAATCGAAAAAAGAAAATTATATACTAATGTGAATGGATAATTAAAATGGAATGAATAAGAAAAAATAATAAATGATTTTGAAACAAAAATAAAATTGTTCAAACAAAACATCCATTGACTGAACTGATCTCAAATTTTACAAATTAACTCGTATCAACGAGGTTTTTTACAAATCCGAACCGTGCAAAATGGCTTGAGCAATATACAGATTTGTAAGGGTTTATCTACTGTTGCTACAGATGAATAACTATTTGCCATATATCTCCATCTTGAATAGGAAACAATTCACGTTGTTTTTTCTCAAAAAAATTGTAAAATAGAGATTTATCGTACCACATATTTTTTTAAATAATTAATTGTTGATTTTACTTCATTAATTTTAAAAAAAAATTATTGACTCTCATTCTCTCTTCATTTATTTTAATTTAATTATTTTTTAAAATTATTTAATAAAGTAATTATAAAAAAAATTAAATACTTATAAAATTTCTTTAATAAAAAATTATTCTAAAAAATTAATTTTTTAAAAATATTTTAATAAAAGAAGTTGCCTGAAGTATGTTTGTTTTTTTCAGAGTTGGATATGAGTATATGCACTTACTATATTCAATACCATTTTCTTCTTCCTTCCCAAAAAAGGGTGAGTACAAATGAATAATGTATCATTGATTGATTAATGAGGTAGAAATAAATTAATACAATTGAATTACATCAGCAAAAATAACCAAGCCCAGGAGCATAAGCCTGTCATCGGAAAGGAGAGAACGACTTCCCTCATCCATGTCAAAAACTATACTCTTCCTCAACGTATGAAGAGTTGAATAATGAAAGAAAAATAAAATTAAAAAATTCAAATTCTGAGAAGTGTATCAACTGGTGCTTTCTACCTTTCCCATGCAACTGCCTCAATTTCTGATTGTGCACTTCTGTATAGCTCTAGCCTCCTTGCAAGGGAGGTGCGGCGCTGCATTATTGCTGGGTCCTCATTTAGAAGTGCAGCTAGTTGTTTTCCCTGCAAAAACAATACGTAAATCATGAACAAGTACGCTTAATGCATTTTCATATCACACCTTTGGATTCCCTCCTATTTGAGGTACTCCAAATTCAATTTGAAGGATAAACTCAGTTTTATGATATTTGATTATTTACAAAAGTATGTTTATACCCTTACAAATACGTTTCCATAAATGTAGACCAACCAAAATCCTATTGTAAAATAAAAACTACTCCAAAATTAAATTTGTCAACTTTAACACAACTATGTCTATGCTTGAATTCCTCAAGGGAGACAATAACCGAACCTAACCTCCTTTTTCCCCAATTCTGTAAAGAAATGATCCAGTAAGCTGCGCTTAGCCTCACGCACTTGACAATAAACTACAGACTTGGGAATAGTATTCCGCAGGGTCGCACATACCATGTTCACGTAGGACAAGACAGTGGTAGCTGTTCATATTCAATGAAATGAAGAATCTCAGTAAAGGGAAAATGAAAACAATGCCTCAAATTTCATGAACATATACATGTTGGTTTACGTGCTCATCATACAGTATGTGCGGAATACAACTATAGTTCGTGGCTAATGAGTTTATTTTCTCTTATTAATTGAATTACTAGCTGGGAATAAAATCATAAAAAAAAAAAAAATCGAATATCACATGTTCTTATTTAAATTCCAATCGTTACCAATTCGACGAAGATAAGCATCATTATATCTGTCGAAAAGTGAATGAGTGGGATTTCCACCCTTTTCTGCGTCTTGGGGAAGTTTGCGGAAAAATTCAACCGTCAAATAGCCATACTCCATGTCCACCAAAAGCAGAGTTGCTTTCTTACTTTCTTCTCTCATCCGCTCCAACGAATCAACAGCTGCACTTCCGAGTTCTACCTTCAAGGTGGGATACTGCTTTAATTCCTACAATCAATAGAAAACTGCTACCATTAAAACACTAGAAAAAAAAAAGACTACACTTCCGATCAGAAATATAACAGAGAGGAGCAATCTCAGTAAGAGATCTACTTTTCGGTTTCATTCTTATATATATATATAAGTAAAAAATAAATAATATGCCACTTACTATTGTCTCACTCATAGATTTCTGAATCAAATCCTTCAAAATTCCGTGAACCTGAATGCATAATAAAAGTAAGGTGTTAAGTACATAGTTCGATATAAAAAAATAAATAAAAAAATCAGTTTTCCGAAAGATGGTCGATTTCTCCTTAAATAAAGTAGTCAAAGGTATAAAATTTTAAGATCCTTTTTAACTCAGCCAAGGAGTAATATATATTATACCGCATCAACAGCTGCTTCAGCAGGGCCCCTAATTAATACCAAGCAAGATTCGATAAGGCGTCGGTATCCTTGCTCAGGAGCTATGAGATGAGGTTGATAACCATCTGCTTCAGTTATTAGTTTCCGCACATTGTCCATTGATAAATGTTTGTCAAACTGCAGCCTTTTTAAAGATGCTGGAAATTGATTATCAAATACTTGGTAAATTTTCTCACCACCAGACCGTCTGTGGACAATCAATCATTTCCAAGGTCAAATTGGATCTATCTGATATCATAGAGTTATTTGTAATTCAATACATATAATATACCAAATAACATGGGCAAAAAAGGACATACATGCCATCAAGATGATCTTTAAATATCTGATCAAAAGTTCGACAGATTTCCATTATCGTGTACAACTTCCCCTGCGCAAATAGGGAAGAACGGTAATTATTCATGCATTTATAAATGCAAATGGTAGAAGGAGAGAGGGACAAGAATAAGGGTAACCTAATCATGAAGACCCGGTAGTATTTATAAAAAAATTACAATTTTTTTTATCTATATAAATCTATTGTTAGGGGTGGGTGAAGGAAGTGGCTTACTCCAGTATCAGCAGCAATAGGTTTCCCAATACGGTTCAATTCTGTCTCCAATTCAATGATGGTCTTGTTGATGAGTGATTGTAGGCCTGGGATCCGAGACTTGATGACAGTTTCCAAATGCTGAAAATTTTAAACACATTTAACATAACATAAAAAAAGGACAATAATCAACTCGACAATATGGAAACAATCATTTACACCCTTAGACAATGCATCAATTGAATTTCAATTTTCAAGTAATACCTCCTAATATGCCACAGCTCAGCATACCTTGGATAGCACCTTTCCTAGATGCACAGAGCCCATTCTGGAAGCAAGATGTCTATATTCTGGGGTATTAGCAAAATACTCGTTTTCTCTTTTCCGTGCAGCAATCATATCGACTTGTTTATTGATATCAGCTTGGGAGCGGTTAACAACACCAATCCAAGGGAAATTTAGCTTATATGCTTTCCCTTCAAGGATCTAGAAAATGTAAAAAAGTCAAAGGAAGCCACGTTATGAGCTTAAAAAAGAAAGTTAAAAAGGAAATCTCAACTCCTAAGAAACGGTTGTTTAAATGATTCCGAAGTTTTATGACAGTAGTCGAGAATACATATAAGCCAAAACATAAAAATGAATGACTCTAAATATGTGCAATATATAACCCCATCCATAATTCCGATGGACAGATATCCAAGTATCCAACATAAAGGAAACAATGACTTTTTTAGTCACCAAACGACGATTACCCTGTGATGTGACACTTTTCTATCACACAATTATAGTTCTACTTTTATACCGTAAGCTTAGTTTTCTGAAACTACAAATAACTCTCCCCGTGCCAAATTCATGGTAAAAAGACGTCAAGAAGGAAGGGCTTTGCCTAAGGAAAACCAAGCCAAATTCTTTATTGAGGGTGTCAAGAGAGTGCTCACTTACCTCAGTTGCATCAGTACCCTTGTCCATAAGATCAATCTTTGTCAAAACTCCGAACGTCCTTTCCCCTGAAAATTTAAACTTGTTTCACAAGCAAGCGATCTCCAACCACATAGGATCTAACCATCTAGTCAGCTGCTCGTAAAAATATAGAGTTTTCTACCTATGTAGAGGTCAAGCGACATTGAGCAATTGACAAATCAAGAAGCACGAAAGTGAGAATAACAAGTTAAAAATTTGATTCTCGTTAAAGAAGTCAGTGTAGAAACTTAAAGAAACCAAGTTACTGGATCTCTCAAAACTCATTTACCAGTCTAACCATATCTGCTCATATGTTTTAGCTCCAAGCCTTGAAAAAAAAATTATACATGAATATAGTTTAATACTTGATATATTTCTTGCGTAAAATCCCACTCACCTAATTTGGTTTCAACAAAGTTGAATTTCAAACATTAAATGTCAAGGAAATTTGAACCTGTCATTCTGTACAAATATGAGAATTTATTGATATAAGAAGCCTAACAGCTGACTTAATCAATTAATTACATATTGTGTTTTGCAGCAAATATTACGAACCTTCCAAGTTTTTATTTTCAACCTTTTTTTGCTTTCAGCTTCGGCTGTTTGATTAAATTACTTGATACGGCTGAACATCAAATAACAATTTCCCACCGAATAGTGCTTTGTCATCTAAAAATTATGTTCAGCATCTTACCTTTAGGATCTACTTCACGGGAAATCTTAATTGCATCTGAGGTTGCAAGGTCTTGATTTGCAGGAGATATTGCCAAAATGATGCAATTCGGCTGTAACATGCGATTAGTTTCAGAATTACTTTAAATTACATGCTCAGGAAGTTTAGCTTACACCATTTGAGCTCATACATCTAAATAAATAAACTATGAAAAACATTTAACTAGAGTAAGAGAGCCCAATACAGATACTGGATCAGGATGGATCGCTTAAATTGAATAGTGTTCATGGGTATTAAATATTCAAATTGATGTTTGAAAACACACCTTTAAAAGATTCCATTCAAATTTTCTCACATCATAGCAAATAAACGTTCCCATATGCATCAAAACCTTTCATGTTATTATTGTATGCAGGAATAATTACCTTTTCGATAAAGGACCGAACCATATTTTCAATGTCTTGCACGATGCTATCTGGTTGACCCTCTGCAATATACCCCAGAAAACGTTACTGCCATTACAGTCCATAGTTATAATCGGAAATTTAAAGGTCAATCTTAGAATCTCACCAACAGCGACTTTAGTAAGTCCCGGAAGATCAACCAGCGTCAGATTGACAACTGCCAAGTGAACAAATTCAATGCATGAAATGAGTGCCTAATAATAAGATCGAATTAGAAAAACGAGAGTAACAAACACAAGAATTTGTAAGTAGCCAAGCCAAGGAAAATAAGTCTCTGCTCTCATAGTTTAAACAATTTGAAACGTAACTCATTTAACAGGTGGTAAAGACTGTAAAGTAAAAGATAGTAGTTGATACTCATCGCGTTTTAAAAGGGAGTGGTAGTTATACTCATGAATTTTAAGTTATTTGATGAGAAAACCCAGTTACCTAATACAATGGATATTTAATTAATCACAAAAAAAAAAAAAAAAAAAGCACTATGGATACATTATGTGCTAAAGTAGAACACAATTGACATTTATGTGGATTGTATCCTGAAGGCAAACAATAATTGGTAAATTCATTATTTTAAAATTCGGATGAAATCTACCAGTCAGATAGAAAAAACTAATGGATCGGTAAATAAATAAATAAAATTAACTCAGAAAAATCAATAAAGAAACTGGAAAATACTTAAGAAACTTATTTAGGATTTCCAATATAGTGTGAAAAGGCATTGTTATATTGTATTTATAGATAAAAGAGATACAATAGATAGGATATGGACCTCGGCTCAAATCCTTAACTCTAGTATAAGGAAAGATAGAAAAACATCATATCTCAACACTCTCCCTCAAGCTGGAGCATATAGATTGTATGCACCAAGCTTGAAAAAAATAAATTAAATCTTAGGACCTCTCAAAGATTTAGTTAAAATGTTCACCAGTTGCTCATTAGAGCTTATAAATTCAGTTACAAGTTCCTTAGACACTAAATTTTTTTCTAACAAAGTGACAATCAATCTCAATATATTTTGTTCTTTCATAAAAGACTGGGTTGGAGACAATATAGAGAGTTGTCTGATCATCACAAAACAACTTCATCTGCCCATTATCACAGAATTTTAATTCTTGGGAATTGTTTATTCCACATAAATTCGCATGTAACAAGTGTCATAGATCTATACTCAGCTTCTACACTAGATCGAACAACAACACTTTGCTTTTATTCTTCCAAGAAATCAAATTTTCTCCAATAAAGATATAATATCTAGTAGTAGATCTTCTATCAATGGGACAATCAGCCCAATTTGCATCACAATAACCTAGAATTTGAGTATTACCCTTATATTCATAAGGATCCTTGTCCTGGGACCCCTTTAATATATCTCAGAATGTGAATTAAGGCGTCTCAATGATCAGAACAAGGACTTTGCATAAATTGGCTAACTACTCCAACTGCATAAGAAAGATCAGGTCGGGTAATAGTAAGATAAATGAGTTTACCAACCAACCTCGTGTATCTTTCTGGATTTGATAACTTTTCTCCTTTATCTCCCATCAATTTATGATTAGGGTCCATTGTGTTATCAATGGGTTAAACCTGTCTCCTTCATAATATCAATGGCATACTTCCTCTGAGAGATGATCACACCTTCCTTTGATTGAGTCACTTCAATACCAAGGAAATACTTCAATTGACAAAGATCTTTGATTTAGAAGTGAGCAAATAGATGATTCTTCAGTTGGCTGATCTTAGTATAATCATTGTTTGTAATAATAATATCATCAACATAAACCATAAGATACACACACTTGCCTGAAGAGGAATGACAATAAAATACTAAGTGATCTGCTTCACTCCTTTTCAAGCCAAACAATTGTACAACATGACTGGATTTTCCAAACCAAGCTTGGGGTGACTACTTCAAGCCATAAAGAGATCGGTGTAGCTTGCACACTAAATCAGACTCTCCTTGAGCAACAAAGCCAAGAGGTTGCTCCATATAAATCTCTTGCTCAAGGTCACCATGAAGAAAGATATTTTTAATGTCTAATTGGTGAAGAAACCAACGACGAATCGCAGCCATAGCAAGGAAAAGACAAATAGTGGAAATCTTAGCTACTGGAGAGAAGGTATCACAGTAATCGAGATCATAAATTTTAGTGTAGCCTTTAGCTACTAAACAAACTTTAAGACGATCCACTTTATCATTATTATCAACTTTAACTACATAGATCCACCAACAACCCACACCCTTTTTGCCAGGAGGAAGAAGGACAAGCTCCCAAGTGTCATCATTGTGCTCAAGAACTTGTATTTCATCAATCATGGCTTGTCGTCATCCATGATGATCAAGAGCCTCATGGACAATATTAGGAAAAAGAGACAACAAAAGAGGAATAGGAAGGAGACAAACGATGATAACTTAAAAAGTTATAAATAGGAATGGGATTCCGAGATGAACGAATACCTTTTCTGAGTGCAATAGGCCATCCAGAATCAGAAGTGGGAGAGGAAGTCAAAGGATCCATGGCATGAGAATTTGATGGAGAAGGTTTTGAATCACGATTATCTGTAGAATCTGGTAAAGGCGTAGGTGGATCACATGAGGGTATAAGAAGAGGAGGAGAATCATTAAGACCTAGGTTGAATTGGTAAAGGATCAGGTATTATAAATGGATCACATGAAGGTATAGGAAGAACATTTTGAATAGAGGAATCATCCTCCTGGAGGAGGAAAAGAAGGGTGTTTCTTCAAAGAAGGTAACATCGGCAGACATGTAATACCTTTTGGTAGATGGAGAATAACATGTGTACCTTTTTTGGAGGCGAGAGTACCCTAAGAAGACACATTTAATGGCTTTAGCACCTAACTTATCCAAACCTGGAGAGACATTATGGACGAAACAAGTACAACCAAATACACAAGGAGATACATGATAGAGAATCATCTGGAAAGATAAGGGAATGAGGAATTTGATTTTGAAGAGAAGAAGATAGCATGTGATTGAACAGAAAACAAGCAGTGAAAATTGCATCTCCCATTCAACATTAGAGAGTGTGCAGTCTCAATAAGATGCCCATTTTTCGTTTCTGCAATATCATTTTGCTTTGGAGTGTGAGAACAAGTTGACTGATGTAAAATGCCTTAGGAAGATAAAAAAGAAGAGAAGGAGGCTGGAAAATATTCTTTGGTATTATCACTTCGAAGAACTTTAATTATCTTCCCAAATTGATTTTTAATTTCATTGAAGGACACAAAAATTGACAAAATTTTAGATCTATCTTTAATTAAATAAACCTAAGTACATCTAGAAAATTCATCAATATAGGTTACAAAATATCGAAAGTCAAATAAAGAGACACAATTCGGTCCCCAAACATCATAATGAATATTTGAGAAAGGAAAATTACATGGAGTTTCAGAGTATTTAGGAAAGGTAGACCTAACATGTTTTCCTAATTGGCAAGATTCACATTCTAAATCACGAAGATATTTGAGATTAGGAGTCATTACTTTCAACTTTGGTAAACTTAGGTGACCCAGACGATCATGCAAAAGTTTAGGAGAAGGAGAAGCAAGACATGACACTGAATGACTTGGATTTAGATAATACAGACCACGTAATTCATGACCTTCTCTAATCAGACGACGCATACCATGTTCCTGAATAACAAAATAATTGGAATTAAAGATTACAGAACAATTCAGAGAACGAGACAATTGACTTAGAGAAATCAAGTTATAAGGACAATTAGGAATGAAAAGAAAATTCAAAGAAAGGGTTAAAGGAACATGGTCAATTCCTTGTGATTTTACTTTAGATCCATTAGTCACAGTAATCAGGTGAAGATGAGGAACTGTTATTAGATATACGATTAGAGGCACCTCAATCAAGAATTCATAGGTTTTGACCTTCCACAGATTGAGAAATGCATATTGTTGAACCACTAGGCATGAAAGAAGATTGACATTAACTGTTTAATTTTCCTGATTTGAACTTCAAAAATTCTTGATACTCCTTATAAGAGATTTTCAAATCCAGTTTTTCAGACTTAGAAACATGGGAAGTGGTATTTTTGACAAACCGTGTAAGGAATAACAATTTTCTTGCGTGTGTCCCATCTTCTTACAATAGAAAAACATTGAGGACGACCTTTTATAGTAGCAGAAAAAGAAAAAACACTAGATGAAGCCATTTATCTAAAACAGATATGAAAGATAAATCTAACCAATAGGGTATCCACGTAACTTAGCTTCCAAAATTCTCAAAACAGAAAAAACAAAGGCAACACAGGACTCGGAGGGCGCCAACAAACAAAGATAATCAACCTTGATTCTAGCCACTGGAAGGCCAAACCCTTAACCCTAGTAAAAATAAAAATAACAGCATGTCTCAACCGGGTTAAATAGACAAAAAAAAACTTATTTACAAACTCAATAAAAAATATTCAATAGAATTTTTTAAAAATTAATCTATAATATTTTTTATTTTTCTTTATTATACTTAGTGATATTATTATTATAAATTAATGTTGACGTTTATTGTTAAAATTAAATTTTTTAAGATTTTAAATATTAAGAATTTATAACGTTATGTTTTATTTTTATAATAATGTTTTTCTTTAGTATTATTTGATGATGATTATTACGTCATCAGTTAATTCAATAAAGATTAAATAATTAAACAATAAATCAATGTACACAAGTTGAATGATAAAACTAATTTTGAAAATATTTAGAGATGGTCTTTCGGTCTCGCAATCTTGACGATAAATAAAATAATATTTTATTGCTAATATTTATATCTCACCATGAGGGGAGTAGATACTCAGATGGATGGGCACAGATGAAATACCCTTGTTGCGTCCCGTTTCTCTGTCAGTCTCGTCAGCGATCTCCTGCCTAACAGCAGCTACACAATAGGGCAAAATTAGTCACTACGCGCGAAACAGAAACATAAAGATCATTTCATAAAATAAAAAACTAGTTAATGCAAACATATAGAAGTGATCATATTCAACATTTGATAAGCCCCTCCCCATGAAAGAGAACGATATAGTTAACACACGCTTCTGCGAATCACATAAGCAACTTTTTTTTTAAATTAAGATAAAGTTGATTGCTAACTGCCATCACACTGATGTTTAAGTCCAGTAAACATTAAACCATATGTGAAGATGTTTTACGTAACAGAATACCAAAATCAGTAAATTTCTTCCTTGGAAGGTGCATAAATTCAGCGTATTCTCTCCCTTCGTCTATCTTATGAAGTTGCAAAACAAGAGGACGCCGAGTAACAATTCCTGCATAAAATAGTGGTTCAATTATCCAGAAACTCGACCAAAGGGAAGAAAAACAATCATCAAGGTGTACGTATGCTATAACAGGCTCAATTACCAGATCCTCGAGGTAAAAAGTCCTTCCCTACAACACTCTCTAAGACTGAAGATTTTCCAGAGCTCTGCAAATGAGAAGTAGCGGATAAATGGAAATTGCATATATATCTATGACAACTAGAAATATAAAATGGAAACATTAAAGTTGATAATCAGCCATTATATGTAAAGAAACGTGGAATTTAATCTCCTTCTGTTGCAACGTCAATGCAATAAATGACAAAAGAACAGGACCTCGAATTTAACAGTGTTAGATTAAATGGATTACAAGATACAACAACCAACATATCAATATAAAAGGTCCGAAGCGTTTGGGTCAGTTTGAATTTTCTTTTAAAAGCCACAGATTATATTGAAAAAGGAAATAGTAGAAGCACAAGATGTACCAAACCCTCCAAAGGTCATACATTCAACCTTCCAGAAAAATATAACGCAGTTATATCACGATTCTTTTTACAACACCTAAATGACAACCATAGAAAAATCGCTTGTTGATGAAATCCTATATATATATATATATATATATATATATATATATATATATATATAAATGTATACATAAGCAGAGCCAAAGGTTTCACTCATGGACCAAAAACGGTTGTCAATACTTTATTGGCTGCATTTATTTGTAATCCATCGCAACATAAAGATCGTGATGAAATCGATACTTCAAGTTAAAACATTAGTTTTATTTTAACAAGGAATCAACGTCTCTGTATAACTATCTTTTTTATATCTAATCAGAATATAAAAATATAAATTTAATAATTTGTCAAAAAAAATATATATACTTCAATAATAAATTAGAAATCACCTATGAGATTATCATTATATTCATTTACGAAGCACAATGTTAAGGTTTTTTTACCTTTGCAACCATAATAACAACTACATCAACCACATTTGTTCACAATTTTTCAAAACATTAGGGATGATGATGAAACTATGATCATGACCACAATTTAAACCTTAGGTTCACTTGAATAAAATCATAAACATCACTATATATAACTATTTATATTTACTAGTATGGTTTCAAAGGACATTTCCATATCAAAATAAAAATCACCAACCATTATAAAATTGATACACCAAATACAATGTCAAAGTTTTTGGACTTGGTGCAACTGTATTATAACCACAACTATAGTCACGTCAATCCGCATTTGTTCATAATTTCCTGCAGCATCAAGGATTGTCTGTCATAAAGTTATGACTGCGACAATTTAAAACTTAAGTTTCACTTGAACAGATAATTTTGGACTTGTGGAACCGCATTTCATCCATAGCTGGAACTGCATCGTGTTTATCCACAATTTCCCGCAAGGATCGTGGTGAAACTACGAATGCAATTTAAAACTTAGTTTTCACTCTATCAAAGGTAAGTCACTGTATAACTATCTAAATTTCCTAGTTTGTCTTTAGAAATATTTTCATATATAAGTTAAAAAATAACCTGTGAGATTACCATATTGATATACTAAGTACAGTCTTAATTAAGGATTTTAGACTTTGTGAAACCAAATTGAAACCAAAATTACAACCCACAAAAACGCATTTGTTAACAATTCCTACAACACTAAGCATTGCGATGAAAAAGTGATGGTGACCACAATTTAAAACCTTAGTTTCACTTAACTAATGCACCTACATCACTACATAACTAACAACATATACTAGTTTGGTTTCAAAAGACATTTCCATTACAAATAAAAAATCACTAATGAGATCATAAAATCAATACAATAAGTACAATGAAAAAGGGACTTTGTGCAACTACATCACTATTACAATTATAACCACATCAAGATCGTGGAGAGACTATGAACGCGATCACAGTTTAAACTAGGTTCACTTGAACATAAGTATCAACATCATTATATAACAATCTATATTTACTAGTTTTTCTCAAAAACATTTATAAAATAAATTAGATTTACCAATGAGATTGTCATATCATACACTAATTACTGTGTCTATGGCTTTTAGATTTTGTGCAATCACGTCATCACCACAATGACAACACATTTGTTTACAATTTTCCATATCATATAAAGATTGCAATGAGACTGCTACAATCATTTAAAAATATTAATTTCTCTTGAACCGGGACATAGCATCACTGCCTAACTATCTGTGTATACTGTTTTGTTTTCAAAATACATCTCGATAATAAATTAGCAACAGCAATGAGATAATCAGATTAATACGCCAGATACAAACTCAGCTCCACAAATTAACACGCAAAATCACCGCTGAAAAGCGGAAACTTATGGATGAAAACAGTTAATGAAGAGAAAACTTTCATTTTGGTGAACAAATGCGGAGGTGAAAGAAACACGATGGAACTAAAAATGCAGAATCTCAATCTCAATTCTTAACACGGAAAAGGTTAAATAAAAATATTGCACTGGAAGAACGATTCCTAAATTAGAAAAAATAACAATAATTACAATCAGTGGCAATGATGGCGATGAATAAGACGTATATCGTTAAGTATTTTGAATGACCTGTCCTCCGACGACGGCGATGGAAGGAAGGGCGTCCCAGAGAGTAGGCATGGCGCTTTCCTCACCATGATCGCCGAGAGCGGTGCACGCTCTCTGGATTTTGTTCACCAACTGTATCAGATTCTCCATTGTAGGAGAAGAGTGAGTTAACTGGGAGTTTCTAAGTGAGAGAGATGATAGAAGCGCCAAATGCAGAAAGAGGAAGAGACGAAGCTAAGGAAGTTGAAGCAACTTTCCAAATGATCGTTTTGAAAAATTCCTTAACTGATTTCTGTTATGTGTCCACTCACGCTCACCATTTTGCCCCCGTCTTCCTCTCTATTAACCAAGTAGATTTCATTTCAATTAATAAACACAAACCTTATTATTATTTTAATTGTTTCATTTTTTTTATTAAGGAATAAATACGTTAAGTCCCTTTTTTTCTTACCTTTCAATGTATCAATGGTTGCAGTTCAATGTTACTTTTTCTCTTCTTTACTTTATCCTCCATTTCTGCTTGCATTCATTGTCTTCAAAAGGTTTGAAAGAATAGGCACAAATATAAGGTTCAAGTTCTGTTGGGAAAACCAAAATGATCCAATGGATCAGCCCAATTTTACCAACTCTATTGGGAACCAATATGATAGGACCGACTTCTAAATCATAAATTATAAACTCTAAATTGAAGAGTGATAACTGGTGCAAATTATTTTATTTATTTAATGACATTATTAATTATACTTTTTAATAAAAAAATTATCTTAAATTTTTTTTTTTTACTTTTGTCACATATGCCTTATGTTACTTTTATTTTAAGACTTTTCTATTTCTTATTATTAAATAAAAATTAGAAAAATTATTATAAATATATTTGCTTGAAAAATGTTAGATTTTTTTAAAGTTCAAAGTTTTTTTATCAGTCAGAAAATTGGTAAGATAAAGGAAATTAGTATGTTGGAATAACAAAGAAAAAGTGTTTTTTTTTTAAATATTAAAATTGAAATTTTAAACTGAGTAATTACGTGTTATCTTTTAGAAGAAAACGGATAACAATGGACATAAGTTTAATTAATCACGTGTTTGTTTTATGTTAAAAAAAATAGTTATTTGAATTTAGTCTTGGTTTTAACTTAACGCAACAGTAAGTAGTATTTGCATCACATGAAAAATTTATACTAAGTTTTATTATTAGCTCATTTTTATAATAACAACATTAAAATATAAATAAAATCAATTAGATATAATTTTATTAAAAAATAATTTTAATCCTCCAGTAAAATCCAAAAGTATTCCAAGTAAACATATGTATACAATTGAGTGAATTTTTTAAATATTACTTTAATAAATGTTAGTGTATATCAATACAGTTGAGTTTTTTTGTATGAAATATGACTATATGTAGAAACAGAGATACATACTTTTTTTTCAATATAATAATTAAAATAAATTATTATTTTAGATATTGTATTGTAAAAACTTAAATAATAAAAAATAATAAAATTATTATTTTTATTTTTTAAATGAATTATCCTTCTATATATATATATATATATATATAATTTATTTATATAAAAATAAATAAATAATTTTAATTTTTATTATTATTTTAAATTTAATAGTTTAAAATACTAACTTTATTCTAATATTTATATTACAATAAAATGAATAATAAAAAATAAATGTCTATTTTTTATTATAGGAATAAATATATCCTTTTATATATTTTTAAGACAATAATATATTATATACCAATTTATATCATGTAGGAAGTATTAAAACAATTATGTTCTTTTGATTTTTTAAGACAATAATATATTATATACCAATTTATATCATGTAGGAAGTATTAAAACAATTATGTTCTTTTGATTCTGAAATTAAGGTGAAATTTTTATTTTTATTTTTTCAATTGAGTGGTCAATCAAATCACTAATCAAATTCACTTTATCGTTCTAAATTTCATCACAATCTAACTTCTTCAAATTATATATATAGTTTATTTCTTAGTACCTTTTCTGTCAAACATTTTAAGTTTTGTACTAAAATTATCATCTTTTACAAATATATGAATAACAAGAGAACAACTTGTATTAAGTACAAACTAATTATAAAATAAAAGACAGGAAAATTGTAATAAAAAACTTTTCATTTTCTTTTGTTCTGATACATTTACTTACAATAATTCATGTATCTTACATTCAAATAAGAAGAAACAAAAGATTATAAGGTGTCATTAATTACATGTATATATTCAAATGAAATCATTAAAAATAAATTACATGAAGTATAAACTTAATTTATATAAGAATTATTATTAAAATTTATTTCCATCTTTCTTGTTAGGATTTATTATTATAATATTATTCATTTTAAAATTTTAATCATCATATTTTTTTTAGATATATATATATATATATATATATATATATATATATATATATATATATAAACAATCTTTGATTATTGTTTTTAAAGCACTCTCATTTTCTAGTTATAATTTATTAAACATTTTAAAAAATGGTTAATAAATAAAATGTAAAGCTTACAAACATATGCTGCACACATGCTTCATGGAGCATGAAAAAACACAATTCATCATTTTGCAATATTTATTGTCATTTAAAAAAAAAACATCATTCTATATTTATTTTTGAAGGTACGAAACATTGTGCATTTAATAACGAAAAATCAGATCACTCGTCAAAATAAGAATTTGTTTATTAAGAAATTAGATTAGCATTATTTTATGTATTTAAGAATATAAATAGTTATTATCCTTAATTTAATATATGCTGGACCAAAATTTATAAAAATACAAAATTAAATAAAATAATAAAACTACATTATTTAAAGAAATATGTTTTAATTTTAGTAAGTATCTTTAAACTAACTTCTCTATAAAGTTTTTTTAAGAAAGAAAAATAAAAAGATAATATAAAACAAACTAAAATTAAAATATATTTTTTATTTATGTATAAATTGATTTTTGTTTATAATTTGTTTTTCTTACAATATTTTGTACAAAAAAATAACAATGAAAAAAGAAAACAAAAGACAACAACAAAAACACCTCCACGCTCTATCTTTTGAAGTACTATCGACCGTTATGGAGAGAGCGTGAGTAAAGCATGAGGAACAATAAAAAGTCATCCCTGTCACTATCATTTGCTGTCACCGCTAACGTTATAAACCTTTTTTATGTTAATATCATTGTTTATTGTGTCGAAAAGTGTGTGACGAGAGAGAGAGAGAGAGACAAAGTCACTCCATTGTCTAATGCAACTGCTTCTCCGAAACTACCACCGCTAATCACTATTCGGTGCGTAAGAAGAGGGCAAAAAGAAAACCCCAAATAAAAAAGTCTCTACCTTGATATACGTATACGTGTACGGTATACAGTATATTCCCTTTGTTTTGATGTTTCGTATGCCAAAAGCTGTATACTAGTAGCTCTACGCCAGATGTCTACACGTGTCTTTCTTGTTCTTCAATTCATTCTTTTTTTTTTCTCTCTCTCTCTCTCAATGCTTCTCCTTTTTGGTCAGAGTCAAAAATAACATAACAACCCTTCCCTACTTTCCCGAGTCTTGAATTGAAAACTCTTACCACAACTCTCATTAAGAAAACCCTTTACTTTATTTCGCATTATTCGTGTCAAACTTTCTCCTGCTTCCGTTTCCGCTTCTGCTTCCCCAGGGTAAGAATCTGCCTTCTCTTGAGTTTATAGCGATTGATTCTGGCCCTTTTTGTGATTAGATCCAAACTCTAGAGCTTTTCTCTAGTGGGTGACTTGATTCTAGGGTTGGGTGCGGAAATGATGGGAAATTAGGGCCTGGGTCTGGAATTTTTCATCATTTCTAACGAAAAATTGCTCCGCTGTGTGCATACTTTGTTTAAGTTTTATTTTGAGCTTGTTTGGTCGTCTGAGTAGGTGGTGTGTGTCATCTCACACCCAGGCAGCTGTTATTGTATAAATCCAATGGCTGTGTTATTGTAAAAATTGTAGAAATTAGGGTTCAGGCTTAGGTGAAAGCCTCGAGCTTCTTTGTTTTTTCATTCCCTTAATCAACATTCAAAATGTCATCTGCTGGTGTCACGATCCTTAGTCCTGTTCCAAAGGAACTATTCTGGTCCCCAGATGGATACCATACGCCACTGCACTTGTCGTTGGATCATGAGTTTATTTTCGTATTTCTATCCCATTCTGGATCTTTGACTCCGATGCGAGTTCTTCCATACGATACCATTGAATCGGTGAAACTCAAAATCCAAAAGGCAGAGGGGCTCCCGTCATTGACAAACAAACAAAAGTTGGTTTGTGATGGGCGGGAGCTAGCGCGGAGCAATTCGCTACTGAAGGACTATGGGGTTACGGAAGGAAATGTTTTGCATTTGGTGATTAGGCTGTCGGATCTCCAGACCATCAGTGTGAGAACCTCTTCTGGGAAAGATTTTACATTTCAGGTGGAGAGATGCAGAGATGTTGGGTATATTAAGCAGCAAATTGCAAAGAAGGAGAAGCGCTTTGCTGATCCTGAACAACAGGAGATTGTGTGTAATGGGGAGCTGCTTGAGGATCAGAGGGTTATTGATAATATCTGTAGTAAATATAATGATGCAGTGATTCATCTTTTTGTTAGGGTGAAATACGCAGAAGTTAGGACTGGACAAGATGAGTTGTCTGTCGAGGCAAAGGAGTTGAATGGTACAAAAGAATATGATGTTAGTGAAAATAATTGTAGCCGAGAACATGATGTTAGTAAAGAAAATACAGAAAGGGAGGATGGTGAGCCAATTGTGCAGAGGAAGGCTCTTGATAGAGATCTTCTTCTGGAGCCTGTTATTGTTAATAAGAAAATTGAATTAGCTTCAGGGATTTGGAATATGATAAACTCTACATATGAAGGGCTAAACAGTGGAAATTATCCAATCAGATCTGCAGAGGGTACAGGGGGTGCTTACTTTATGCTTGATTCAACAGGGCAAAAGTATATATCTGTTTTTAAGCCAATTGATGAAGAGCCAATGGCTGTGAATAACCCTAGAGGTTTACCTTTGTCAGTGGATGGTGAAGGCTTAAAGAAGGGTACGAGAGTTGGTCAGGGAGCACTCAGGGAAGTTGCAGCCTATATTTTAGACCATCCAATGAGTGGCCGTCGAACATTATTTGGTGATGAGAAGGGCTTTGCTGGGGTTCCCCCGACTGTAATGGTTAAGTGTTTGCACAAAGGATTTAACCATCCTGGGGACTTGACTACTAAGCTTGGCTCCTTGCAAATGTTCATGGAGAATAATGGAAGTTGTGAGGATATGGGCCCTGGGGCTTTTACAGTAAAGGAAGTACATAAAATTACTGTTCTGGACATGAGACTTGCAAATGCAGATAGACATGCTGGGAATATTTTGATCGGCAAAGAGGAGGAAAATGACCAGGCTGTTTTGATTCCAATTGACCATGGATACTGCTTGCCCACTAGTGTAAGCACGTTTTTTATTGTTCAGTTCTGTTATATTTAATTTTTTTTTTAAATCGGTAAATTGTTCTCTTTAGTGCATCGGCTGGTGCTTTATATTGTTGGTGTGAAATGCTTAAACTTGGGTTTTCTCCGGCTTGGTTTGTGTCGGTAAATGTTTTATTTACAGATTGCAGAATTCTGCTGCTCTTGACCCAGTACGATATTCAATCAAGTGTCATTATAATATAACTCACAAAAGGTTTATTGGCTTGGATCCTTCAAAGTTTTTCTTTTTTTCTTTGTTAAAAAATTGTGTTACTGTAGTTTTTTCCTAGCATGTCATGTCAGCAAGGACATATTTTTTCAGCTGCTATTCTTCTGACTATTATGTCCTTTGCATAAAAGTTGATATTTTGGATAGACTGCATGCATTTTGAGAAGTGGAAAATTTTATTTTTTTGGTGCACTCACCTGTTTTGAAAGAAGCAAGATTCGTGTAGCTGACCTCTCCTAAGGGTTTGATGTTGTAATCACAAGGTTTGCAAGATGTGATATTCTCCTTTTTTCTTGCTTGGTTGGAGAAAGGGTTTAGTCATATTTTCTGTGGATTTTCCCTTGGGTCTTTGTTCATACTTCAAACCAGTCATTTGATGTGTTTTTGTCGTTCCAACAGTTTGAAGATTGTACCTTTGAATGGCTTTATTGGCCCCAAGCTCGCCAGCCATACTCCGCCGAGATCATTGACTATATAAGGTCACTGAATGCTGATGAAGATGTTGCCCTTTTGAAGTTTCATGGTTGGGATCTGCCAATTGAATGCGCCCGCACTCTTCAAATCTCAACCATGCTTCTGAAGAAAGGAGTGGAGAGAGGTATGACCCCCTTTGCCATTGGAAGCCTTATGTGCAGGGAATCCTTGAACAAGGAGTCTGTGATTGAGGGAATTGTAAAGGCAGCTCTGGATTCTGTTCTTCCTGGCACAAGTGAAGAAACATTTCTGGATGCTGTTTCTGAAATCATGGACCAGCTCCTTGATGGGATTCTGTCATAGAAATTGTTGGTATATAAGTAATGTCTGTATAATTGTGTTCCAGTACATATCTATAGCTCAAATGGTTGTTTTACATTATTTCAAGTAATCACTTCCTAGGTCTTGACTTTTAGTATTTTCAAGCATTTCACACATTCTTTCATTGAGATTTACCTTATTGACTTTGAATCCAGTAATGGAAGACAAATCCTTTTCCTTTGATTTATAGCTTAATATGTTATACTGCATAGAAGTAAAACACAGCAGGTGAGGAAATTGATGACAAATTATTATATGGTCTGAGTTCACAAATTTTTATACTTTCCAAGAAATGATTAATAAAACTCGGTTATGTTGATATTAGTCAGGGCTATAAAAAATGTGGTGATTCTGATCATGTAATAACTTCTTAAAATTGAGAGGTGCTAAAGTATATGATTGCATAATGAGATATGAAATTATTTTCTGTATATTACTGATATGCAAACTTTAGGTGTTACATTAAGAATGTTTGGAAAAACTAATCAATGAAGATTTCTATAAAAGTAAAACAAAAAAATTGAAGTTATAATTAAGTTATAGACAAGTTAAAAAAAATTATAAGAATTATGAGAAATTTTATATAAATTAGTTTATGCATAAATTAATTTTAACAATTAAAAAATATTTATTCTTTCTCTTAAAAAATATTATAAAGAAGTATTTTTTTTAAAACCGATTTTATACGTAATTCTACAAAGTTCTAATAGCTGGCCAAGTAATTTATTCCATTGTTGTGAAGAACTAACTGGTGTGGTGCTATGATATACCGTAAGGTTGGTAGTGGCATCGTGGCAGTGACAATGCAACAGATTAAGATGGCAGAAAATTGCGTGCTCCCATCAAATTTGACTTTCAGAAAGATGAGATTCTGGAGAAACGAATTCTTCGAAGTATGCCAAGCCCAACGTTTTACAGCACGGCAGTGGAACATGAAATTCCACATGCGCAACGAAATTTCTATGCGTGTACAAAAATTCTACAGTGTTTTATGGTGACCGTAAGTATCACATGAGTGTAAAGAATGTTTGCTTGATCCATGATCTTAACCTGGTTTAACATAAGATGTTCTCTCTCATGATTTATGTACTCTTACAGCTTCAAGAAGTTTGAGTAATTTCATTTATATATTTTACCTTTCAAATTAAATTTCATGATAAAATTAAATTTCAGCGTCAAAATGAACACCAATTAAAATGTAATAATTAATCCCTATTATAATCTTAGAGAAAATATATACCGTGGATACAAATCAACTTTAAGAGTTCACCACGGAGGATGTCATCACCAACACCAAGTGAGGGAGCGTCCGTACAATGAAGAGATCTTATAAACAATATCCATAAAACTGTGTTTTTATAGATTGCCTTGAGAACTTACAACGAAGAGATCTTAATCAGATTTTGGGTGTTTGTTTAGATGAAATAGTAAAATCTGTTTAAAGAACTTGTAATATTTTTTCATTTAATTTGAATTAATTACTACAAAAAGTTATATGAACCAACTAGATTCAATCTCTAGATTGAGATAGTAAACAAATGTATATCATGCATGGCTTTGAAATCAAGAATACTGAACCGCACAAAATGTACGAACAAATTCATACCAGTTTTAGAATAAATATTAATTAAAATTAGAAACATAGAAGTAGCCTTTTGAGTTTTGACAGAAAACACGGTTGTGCAAAGTTGACCGGATTATTCAACTTTGACGAAATCATTTCATGCTAATCAGAAGCATTTCTGCTTTTAAAAATGATCCGCAGCCAACTGAAAAAATGAAAGAGTTTTACAATAAACAATAAATAAACATGCATGAGAAATAGTGTAAAAAATAAGGTAATCTAATCATAATCCAACATATATGAAAAGTTTATTGATTTTTATAATAACCTAAAAGTTATTCTAAATATGGTTTTTAAATAGTGAACAGAGTAATAAACTTCTACACTTGCATGGCTATAAAATTATTATAAAAAAGGTTTCTATTTTCCATATCAAAATAAATCAAAGTCCCACTTCTTACTTTTTCTACACGTGGAGAAAATACACTCATGGAGCCACTCATGGAGCTGTAAGTTGGTAACTATATGTTATTCAATATATACAAATCACCTGTGATTTGCGTAGGAAAAACAAAGTACAAAAAGTATAAGTTTGAAGGAGAATACCACATCACATGCTACCCATGCAGACACGATATCATTTTCTTCTGATGACATGTTCTCTCCATCTCCTCGTGTGCAGGAAAATCTGGTCAAAAACATTTGTTCTAGAAGCAAGAAAAATCCGTTGCTTTGTGAAAGGTTTAATGTGCAAGTGTTAAATGTTTGGGGTAGAGGACTTTTCACTGTCTTCAACTGGTCACACTGTTGAATGTTTAAGAGTCTTCACCCCTGTTTGGATTTCTTCAACCTCCGCTTTAACCTTAAGACACAAATGAAGTCTCTAAATGTAGTATACACAATGATGAAAAACTTGACGAATCTAAACTTGTGTGTTGTGGATTCCATACTACTTCAGAATTATGAAACTACAAAGCAAAAATAGTTACCTTTTGATGGTGCGGTCATTGAAACCAAATACTCCTTTCATTAATGTATTTATGTCCACAGACCGCTCTTTCATCATCATATCATGATACATTTTGCTGCCAATCTCTGTAATCTGTTCCTCCACTTCTTCTAGTGGTTGGTCTATATTGAGCTGAAGTTCACCTTTCTTGATGACGGTAACACCAAACCCATTTGCTTTAGCCTCTCGAAAAGCATCCTATGAAATGCAACAGAAGTTCAGATAACATCCATATAATTACACCCTTAAAGACAACATCAACAAAGCCTTGTTCTACTAGGTGAGATCTACTATATGGATCATACTACATCATTAAGCCTCCTAGCAGAATCCCCCTTCACCCCAAAACAAAAATTGAAGGTCGTTAATGCATATTATTTGCACAATAATACTGCTTGGGACAGGACAATTGACCCAAATCATAAAGACATCTCAAGCTATCTCTGTCAAACCAATACAATAATAGTTTATCACTACAGTAGTTTATCATTCTAAAATCTATGAAATCAATGGTGTAAAGCTAATATTCCACCATTAAAATACACCTATTCTGGCCTATGGTACCGTCCTTCACAAATTGCCTAAGATGGTTGGCAAAAATCTGCCATGCATTCCGCATTTGGTGCCTCCATTTAACAACAATACTGATAACAATGATGAGAGCACCCAAATACCTTAGGAGGTCGTGCAACAACGAAGGCATGACCATTTCCGAACATTTCCATATGAGCCTGAATTATGTAACAAAGATTTTTGCAGTCACTGGGATCTTGGAAAGCAATCACATGATATGGCTTAGGTTCCAATTCAAGATCTGCAGCCATCTCCAATGAATAAAGTCCTACTTTCTGCTCTCCATCCTCAACTGTGTATAATTCAATGCACTAACAGAAAATAATCAAATTAATTCAGCATCAATGGACAGATAAACAGAGCAAATCAACAATAGCAAGAATATCTGAAAAGCATAGAGAGAAGTAGTTTTGATCTAGCAGAATTATCATTCAAATACACAACTGATATCTCATCTGTAATTTCATGTGTGCTAGTGAACAAGTGGAAACTGGAAACCAAGAACAACATATGTACACGTACCAGTATGTGTGAAAGATCTAACCACCATAAGTAATCTTCCTCTTTGTCGTCTGCATATTCTCGATATTTGCTCACCACTGCTTGCGGGCCAAACAACTCCATCTCTCTCTTAACCTTATTGAGTTTCTTTTCCATGAAACTCTTATTCCTCTCAGGGAGTTTGTCCATTAGATCAGCCGCTTCCTGTATTTCTTTTTCAGTGATCCAGCGATCCAAATCCTTCCCCATGTCCTTCATTACAGACTTTACTTCTGGGTCTGTCTCATCATTGTAACAGTCCAAAAAACCTTGGGACCATTTCTTTGTGTGCTGCCAATATTCCTTCCCTGATTTTTTGCCAGCTTTAAGAGAACCATCACTTCCTTCAATGATAGTCCTTGGATTTTTCAACTTCTTAATAGGTGCGGTAGAGCCATCAAACTTTTCTTGTGAAGAGGAATCAGATGATGTTATAGCAAAGCCACTCTCACCCTTCTTCACTGGATTTATATTTCTGCTGGAACTTGTCTTTCTTTCATCAAGAAATTCATTTAGAAACTCAGGAATTTTCTCTACAGCAGGCCCTTTCCAGCGTGGTATGATTTTCTCTGGTGGGTCATACATGCTAATGCCATCTAGAGGAATCAAAGACAACAATTAGCATCGAGTTTAAATTTATTCAGAAGAAAATGCTAGTTAATATATTTGGGGAATTTCCAGGAACATATAAATCCCAAAATGAAGTTGCCAAAACCATTTCAAGAAGTTAAAAGTTGAACAAACTCTCCATATCATATAATTTTCGAAACAGATAATTACCTGCTCCGTAATCAAGATTTTCAATATTTGCATGGAGCCATTCATGTACGTAAGAAAGTTTTATATTCTCTTTCTCCACTTTTTTCTCAAGACCTCGGAAAAATGTGTCTTTATCTTCATCACTCATCAAATAAAATGGATCCCTTCCGGACAGCTCATTCTCACGGACTTGAAAGACAATATCTCTAAGATGATCATCCTGCATCCAATCAAGTTCTCCACCATCTCCAACACTTCCAAGTGATTCCATCTCGGTGGGTATATCTAAAGGTTGATTGACTCTCTCTTTTGCAGCCATGTAGTTATTTCTAAATCCTGCTCTAATTTGCTTCACTATGGGCTCGACTTCATGGAAGTTTTTCTCAAGCCAGTTTTCTGTCTTTCCAGACACCCTTGTCTCTGTACTGCCATTAACTTCATCTAAAGTGGTATCTGAATTATGATGGTTTGTTATTCCAGGTTCAACGCCAGCAACTTTGAGGTCATCCTTTGTTGTGCCTATTTCCTTGTTCTTCTGATCAAAATCTTCAATAGGATTGGCGGCAGGCTTTGAATTTGATAATCCATGTAAAGCATCATTCCTGATTTGCTCAATTTTGAGGAGGTTTTTGTCCGACTCATTCTCCGGCATTAAAGGTAGCCTTGTCTCCATACTAATGCTATTAATTTCATGGTCTAAAGTGGTGTCATAGTTTTGAAGGTTTCCTACACCAGGTTCAACACCAGAGCCTTTGAAGTAGTCATCCTTCATTGGGCTAAATTCCTTATCCTTCGGATTAGATTCTTCACTAGGATTTGTAGCAGGCTTAGAATCTGATAATCCATTTAAACCATCACTAATGATTTGCTCAACTTCGAGGAGGTTTTTCTCTGCCCAATTTTCTGGTTTCCCATATAGCATTGTCCTACCAATGCCATTAACTTCACTGTCTAAAGTGGTCACAGACTTTTCAGGGTTTCCAATGCCAGGTTCAACCCCAGAATCTTTAACGTAGTTATTCTTTATTGGGATTCGTTCCTTATCCTTCTGAGTAGAATCTTCATGAGCATTTATTACAGGCTCATATTCCAATATTCCATTCAACGTGTCACTTCTAGACCCAGTTGTGTTCATCTTCAAGTTCTGGCTCCTTTTGTAACTAAAATCAATAACACTTGAAGACTTGAAATCAGCAATACTTTCTTTCATGGATTTATGTTTAGATTCTGTGCCGGCACCAGGATTTTGTTTGTCATGTTTTGCCAAAAGATAATCCCTAGCTTCCTTAACAGACCGTATGATCCTGGGTTTCTTCTTCACAGAACTTCCATTTTTCATAGATGAGCCATTAATATCAGTATTTAAGGGGTTGTCATTTTCTTTATCCTTCAGGTGCACATTATTTTCAGAATATTCTATTTCCTGTTTCTTGATTTCCTTATGGCCAGGAACTATGACATCCGAAGCATATACATTGCCTTCTACCTCATGCAGGACTGAATTATCAATGTTCTCTGGGACATCAACAGAAGTTGATTGCAGAATAACATTTCTATCTGTTGTTTCTATTGCAACTTCATTTTGATGATCACTTAAGCTGTCATCTTGTTCGGTCTTCTTTTTTATGAATTCATCATCATCGGATGATTTCTTAATCATTGGATCATCCATTTCCAAATCTTTGTTAACTACAACACTATCTCTTCTCTCAATTTCCCGCGCTTGCCTAGCCATTTCTCTTATTTCTTGAACTTTGTAATCCATCTGCATGGATATAGTTTTTATTTTATCAGAGGAATCATGTACAATCATTTTATCAGATGTTCCCTTAGCTTTCAAAATATTATTCCTTAGTTTCTCCTTATCTAACTTAGGCCTTTCTATGTCCACCATTGGTGTCTCCGACGGTTGAGCAATAACTTCAACAGGACCCTTCACCAATTTCTCTTTCTCCTTTCTCGCCTTTACCTTCCTCCTCATCATTTCCTTCTCCAGTGCTGTATACTTCACCTCCTTAACTCCTTCTCCAAAAGCAAATAACTTCTTCACCACCCACACAACAACCAACAGATATAACACTTTCCTCCCAACCATGGAAAGCCTAGGAAGTAATCGAGGCTTCGAAACAAAACCTTGGACAGCCTTAACAAAACCACTCTCCTCCTTACCTTGAATCACAAACTTAGCCACAGAACTATTCCTTGCAATCACATTGCCCCCATTCTCCATCTCCCTAGCAATGTTCTTAGCATTCAAAATTTTACTTCTCACTTCAGGGAAGTCCCCAACCACATCCCTCCTAACCTTGCTTCTCTTTAAAATCTCTTCTTCATCAACAAACACCCTCTTGACATCTCCAAGGGAATCTTCATAAACAGTGAACACAGGACCAGACCCGACACCCCAATACTCAATATCTCTCTTGTACTGGTCAACCCAACTCTCCAATTTAGTCCACAAAACAGACTCGCCCAAAAGCTTGGACTTTGGTTTTTCAACTTCAACCACACTGTCAAAAACAGAGACCCCCTGGACCTCTATACCACTATCTTCAACGCCATTACCGGAAACAGAAAGAGGGTCGTTGGGAATCTGATTAGGATTTACCTTGTGATCATGGAGGACCTTCTTCCTCAGGGAGTTGCGGCGTTTGGTGGGTCGGCCGGAATGCGCCCAAGTTTGAAATTTTACGGCGGTGGAGCGTGATAGGTAGAGTGAGAACGCAGTTCTCCGAAATGGAGATGTGGGTTTGTGATAGTTTGGTGGGAATTTGGGGTTCAGGGTTTTGGGGTGGCAGAAAGAGGGGATGGAAAAGTTGGTGGGGTTTGAAATTTTGAGAATGTCCATGGACGAAAAACAAGGTTACAAAGAAAGAAATGGTGAGAGCATAATTTAGTTTAATGGAACTTTTTGCTGAACCATGTATGGTAGTGAGATATGGAAACCTGATTTTCAGTGAAATCTGTTTAACTGAGATTGCAGATAAACCCCCAAAACCCAAGCAAGACGATAACGCCCTGCGCCGACCAAGCACGTCGTCGTTTTTGTTGCCTCAAAATGGTCGCAAATTAATTACATAATTTACGTTATGTTAAAGATCACTTTTTAAAATAATTAAGAATGAAAAACAATAAAAACAAATAAACAACCTAAAAAGTAAATGAAAAATATAGTTTTTAATCCAATATTTTTATACAGATAAATTTGATTAAAAAATAATTATTAATTTTTTCTTTAAAATCCTATATACTTTCTTAAAGTAAATAGGAAGTAAATCAGCATATTTTTTAAAATATGAATATCAAATTTGTAAATATTTTTTTCAACGACTTTCACCATGTTTAATTGCAAATATAAAAAAAATAAAAAATATTATTTTTAAAATAAAATAGAATAATGTATAATCTATAAGTATGATAAAGGAAATTTTTTTCTTTTTCCTCTCTCCATATTTCATTTAATTGCTCTAAAAAACACCTTTCACTACTTTTAAAATCACATGCTAAAATGACTTATTATTCAGTATTACATAATTTATTATATCCAATTAACCATAGTTAAGTTTTAAAGATAAATCTGTTAAAATAAATTATAAATTTCTATTTTTGTTAAATAAAAAAACACAGACACTTAGGGCTTTTCGTTTCCTAATATTTATGAATATTAAAATTTTATTCTTAGATATCCTAGGTGAAAAGTAAGTTTTTGAAAACAAATTTTCCATTTGAAATGTTTTTTATTAAAAGAATGGACTTAATTATATATAAATACTAAATCTAAAATAATGAAATTTCATAATTATATAAAAGTTAATAAAATAATAGATTGAATTTCAATTAACTCAAACTTCTCTTAATCAATCTTAATTTCCTATACATTGAGTGATAAGTTTTTATATCTAACTCTGCCATCCATTGGAAACATCCAAACCTTCATATTCATCTACTGATTTTTTTTTGGGCTCAAAGTGAATATATTAAAAGACCCGTAAAAGCCCAAGACCTGTAAGAAGTGGGAACAGGCCCACGAGATCAGTAACAGAGGAATAGAAACATGACACTATGTGCTTTAAAATATTTTCATAAAAATATTTTTTTAATAAAATATAATACATAATAATGTGATTCATATAAATTAAAATTGACTTGGTGGATAACTTTTTTCCGTCACACTGAGGTATTCATTCATCACCTTTTGCTGTGTTACTTTGTATCAGAGAAGTTAACAAAAATTATTTTATAAAATTGTTTGCTGGAGTGAGAATATTAAACTATAAAATTAATTTTTATAAGAATAAAATAATTTCATCAAACTAAAATGGAATAAATTCAATCATGGAAAATGTTAACCTAAATTTACATAAATTTTAATCTTTTTAGTTGTTTTTTAAATAAATATTTTTTAATAATTTATTAAAAGTATTAAATAGAATATTTTTTTTATAATTTGATGTTTTTTGTATTATTATTTTGTTAGAATCTTATATAAGTTTTTTTAAATTAATTATTATAAAGATTAATAATTTTGTTAAATATAATAATTTGTTATTAGATACTAGATAATGATTAAAAAAAATTATAATAGGAATATATTTCACGTAAATTATTTTTTCACAAAATATTGAAAATATTGGTAGGAAGATTTGTAGAAAGAGATAACATTGTTATTTTCATCTAAATTTATAGAAAAGATATCTAGAAGATTTATATTCTCATTATGGTTGACTAAATTTTGTTTATTCATATTTAATAAAAGATTTTTATGTTCAGTTTCAATCATTTTTTTCAATCCATTTTTTTAAGCAATAAAATATTTCTAAATAATATTTTTTTACACAATTATATAATCAAATTATTAATATTTTCATTAAAAGTATTAAATAGAATATTTTTCGGAAATATCATTTTAATGAAAAAAACTTAGTTATATAATTGTGTAAAAAAACATTATTTAAATTTTAAAAAATTATATATCACTAATCACTCTTTAAACTAGTTAAAAAAATATATTAGTATTTTTACAACGTTGAATTTTTTCATAACTCTCATGGTGAGATTATATTAAATTTGGTGAAAAACATGGATAAGATAAAAAAAATTAAATTTATTTTTAAATAATAAACAAAATAAATATATAATATACCCTTTAAATCTCAAATTTAAAAATAAATAAAAAACTTTTGTATATAAAATATCAGTACTTTCTCCGTGAAATATTAAGAAGATTTGATAATAGTTTACACTGATAAAAAAATTGCATTCAGTTTAAATATTTAGGAAATTTTAAAAATATAACATTATCGTTCAAGTATAAATTAAAAGTGAGATTTTTGGTTCTTATACAAATATGATATATTTGATTCACCTCGATTGATAAGTTAAAAATTCGGATCGTTTTATGAAAAATAATATTAAATTGAGTTTGCCAATCAACAACTTCTTAATAAATCTTCTAATAATTTTTTCACCTTATTTATTTTATTAATAATATAATTATATTAAATATTATATGAGAGTTGTACCTGAATATTATATTATAAATTAAAATTAAATCATCAAATCTTATCTTTTACGTGATTACATACCTATTTATAGTTAATAATAACACACTTACATGAATTTTGAATTATTTTAAAATTAATTATCTCTCCACTATATTATATTCTGATGTTCTCCACTATATGATTATTTCAGGTCTGTGAGAGATTGAAAGGAGAAAAAAAAAAGAGCTTTTTCAGAGACAAAAGAATATGGGAAAGGAACAATTGCAGGTGCTTAATACACTAGATATTGCCAAAACACAATGGTACCATTTTACAGCAATTGTGATTGCTGGAATGGGTTTCTTCACTGATTCTTATGATCTGTTCTGCATATCCCTTGTCACCAAATTGCTTGGCCGCATATACTACACTGAAGGTCACAACAGGCCTGGCTCACTACCAGCAAATGTTTCTGCCGCCATCAATGGTGTTGCATTCTGTGGAACTCTTGTAGGTCAGCTTTTCTTTGGGTGGCTTGGTGACAAAATGGGAAGGAAGCGTGTCTATGGGATGACCCTTATGCTCATGGTCATAAGCTCAATTGCTTCTGGTCTTTCCTTTGGCAAAGACCCTAAAGCTGTTATATCTACCCTTTGCTTCTTTCGTTTTTGGCTTGGATTTGGCATTGGTGGGGACTACCCTCTTTCAGCCACTATCATGTCAGAGTATGCCAACAAGAAGACTCGTGGAGCATTCATAGCTGCTGTTTTTGCCATGCAGGGTTTTGGAATTTTGACTGGTGGCATGGTTGCAATTGTAGTTTCAGCTGCTTTCAATGCCCTCTACCCCGCTCCATCATTCAAGATTAATCCAGTTTTGTCCACAGTGCCGCAAGCTGATTATGTTTGGAGGATAATCTTGATGTTTGGTGCACTCCCAGCTCTGATCACATACTATTGGCGCATGAAAATGCCTGAGACTGCAAGATACACTGCCTTGGTTGCCAAGAATGCTAAGCAAGCAGCTGTTGATATGTCAAAGGTGCTACAAGTTGAGATAGAAGCTGAAGAAGAAACGGATGAGCAATTGGACGTAACAAGAGGAAGGGGGAATGAGTTTGGCTTGTTCACAAAACAGTTCCTTCTCCGCCATGGACTTCACCTTGTTGGAACAACCACTACTTGGTTCCTCTTGGACATTGCCTATTACAGTCAGAATCTTTTCCAAAAAGACATCTTTAGTGCAATTGGTTGGATTCCAGAAGCAAAAACCATGAATGCCATTCAAGAGGTTTTCAAAATTGCCAGAGCACAAACCCTCATAGCCCTTTGCAGTACCATCCCTGGTTACTGGTTCACAGTGGCATTCATTGACAAGATGGGCAGGTTTACAATCCAGCTTATGGGCTTTTTCTTTATGACTGTCTTCATGTTTGCCTTAGCCATTCCATACCACCACTGGACAATGAATGGCAACCAGATCGGGTTTGTTGTGATATATTCATTGACCTTCTTCTTCGCCAATTTTGGTCCGAATGCGACAACATTCGTGGTGCCTGCAGAGATTTTCCCTGCAAGGCTAAGGTCAACATGTCATGGCATATCAGCTGCAGGTGGCAAAGCTGGGGCAATGGTAGGGGCTTTTGGCTTCCTTTATGCTCAAAACGGCATTGGACTCAAAAACACACTTATTGTTTTGGGTGTCATTAACTTGTTAGGATTGCTCTTTACGTTCTTGGTTCCTGAATCTAAAGGAAAATCTCTTGAGGAGGTCTCTGGTGAAGTTGAACAAGACAATACTGCTACTGGAGAATCAACAATGGAGGCCGGTCTTCAAGTTTAGAAGTTTTGTCTAACTATTTTTAGTTTCTTCTTTTTATTTCTATTGGTAGGCTTGTAGTAACTAGTGGACAGCTTCATTCCTTTTCTTTTAGCTTAGAGTCCATGGAATTATTTGTTTTATGTTTTTTGTTTTTTGTTTTGCTTTCTTTTCAAATATAATCCGTTAGTACGCACATACATTTTTAACTTGTTTATTTATGTTTTCAGTTCTTTTCCTTGGTGGTTATATAAAATTGTTGGAAAAAATTTATTCACAACCACTCTTCAATATAATATTTATATCTATCTGTTTATTCAATAATATAATAATAATAATAATTATTTATATCTATCTATTTATATTTATATAGATATATATATATTTATTGACAATTATTATGATAAAAAATATATTTTCAACAATTTAATGATTATTATAATAATATTATTTATTATTTTATTATTACGTAAAAAAAAGTTTAATTAGTACCAGTAAGCTTTAAATATACTTAAAACAATAATGAATATATAATTTATTTAGGGATTGTTTATGTTATCTTCTCAATAATTTAAAAATTAAATGATTCTTTTTTTATTAATTTATGTACATATTAATACTAGAAACTCTTTTACATTTAAATAATATTTAAAATATATATATTTAATTTACAAAGAAAAAAATCCTTTTATTTTACCTTCTTCTAAAAAAAATATTAAATTAAAAAATTAATAATATATTAACTATAATAATATATAAACGATTTTTTCCATTATCTTCTATTTTTATTCTCAAATATAAATTAAATATATATTCTTTACTTCTCCACTTACGCACTATCCTCGAATTATCTCTCATATTTAACGATTTTTTATATATAATAATAATATTTGTATTTTATAAATATATACATATATTATTAAATTTAATTTATTAAAATAAAAAGTACTAATACAGATGAGATGTGTTTGTATATTTTAGTTTAATAAATTTATACTCGCTATTAAAAATTTAAACAAACAATTAAACAAGAAAAGTTGGACATGAGAAATACAAGAAAATAAATATAAATAGACGGAGTTTTCCTTTCACTGTAGAATTTGGTGCAATGTAAAATTTAGAGAAAATAACCAAAAATAATAATAATCTTTCAAATCGGAAGAAAAGTATGAAAAAAATTACCTTCTCCCTTAAATGAACATATAATTGAGGTAATTATTATCAAAGTTTAAACTTCTTTCATTTATAATACTTTGCGAAGGAATAATATTGTGAAAAAGAATATATAATTATCAGCATATAATATTTTTCTCTATTATCTTTTAATTTTTGCGTACAAATATATAAAAGTTAATGTACAGCTAATATTTATTTTTTGTTTTTAAATGATACCATATTTTAATACCACTAATAGTGTGTTTGTTTCCACTGATATACTGTTAACGAAAATAGAAGCACGAGGATGATACACGTTTGGTTGAACAAAAATACGACTGAAATGAAAGCGAGGAAAAGCGGGAGATGGGGGAAAGAGGTTCTTCGGTGATGCACGAAGAAAAGAGATGAAAGCCCCCTGGACAAATTGAAATGTCCAACTTACCCTCACTCTGCAAGATTCACTGGTGCATGCATGCAGAGAAATTCTTAAGAATCTCTCGCAAAATTGAGAAAATATAATTTATATTAATTACTATAATATAAAATATATATTCAAAAATATAACTTATTTTCATTAATATATATATATATATATATATATATATATAATTTTACATAAAAATATATTCAAATAATCGAGACTTTAGATAGCGGTTAACGTGAAACCGCTATCATAGGTTCACTTTTAAGAGCGGTTAACATCTTAACCGTTCTTAAAATCTGCACATATGATAGCGGTTCCACGTTAACCGCTATCTAAAGTCTCGATTATTTGAAAAAGTGATCGATCATTTGGAAAAGTAATCGATCATTTGAAAAATTATATATTCTAAAATATAATTTATTTTAATTTCTATAATATATATATAAATGAAAATAAGTTATATTTGCAATATATATTTTATATTATAGTAATTAATATAAATTATATTTTAGAATATATATATATATATAATTTTACATAAAAATATATTGTTAATAAATGAGGCTTTAGATAGCGGTTAACGAGAACAACTATCATAGGTTCACTTTTAAGAGCGGTTAACATCTTAACCGCTCTTAAAAGTGAACATATGATCGTGGTTCCACGTTAACCGCTATCTAAAGTCTCGATTATTTGAAAAAGTGATCGATCATTTGAAAAATTATATATTCTAAAATATAATTATTTTAATTTCTATCATATATATATAAATGAAAATAAGTTATATTTGCAATATATATTTTATATTATAGTAATTAATATAAATTATATTTTAGAATATATATATATATATATATATATATATATATATAATTTTACATAAAAATATACTGTTAATAAATGAGGCTTTAGATAGCGGTAAACGTGGAACCGCTAGCATAGGGTTACTTTTAAGAGAGGTTAACATCTTAACCGCTCTTAAAAGTGAACATATGATAGCGGTTCCACGTTAACCGCTATCTAAAGTCTCGATTATTTGAAAAAGTGATCGATCATTTGGAAAAGTAATCGATCATTTGAAAAATTATATATTCTAAAATATAATTATTTTAATTTCTATAATATATATATATATATATATATATAAATGAAAATAAGTTATATTTGCAATATATATTTTATATTATAGTAATTAATATAAATTATATTTTAGAATATATATATATAAATTATATATTCTAAAATATAATTTATTTTTATTTCTATAATATATATATATATATATAAATGAAAATAAGTTATATTTGCAATATATATTTTATATTATAGTAATTAATATAAATTATATTTTAGAATATATATATATATATATATATATATATATAATTTTACATAAAAATATACTTGTTAATAAATGAGGCTTTAGATAGCGGTTAACGAGGAACAACTATCATAGGTTCACTTTTAAGAGCGGTTAACATCTTAACCGCTCTTAAAAGTGAACATATGATAGCTGTTCACGTTAACCGCTATCTAAAGTCTCGATTATTTGAAAAAGTGATCGATCATTTGGAAAAGTAATCGATCATTTGAAAAATTATATATTCTAAAATATAATTTATTTTAATTTCTATAATATATATATATATATATAAATGAAAATAAGTTATATTTGCAGTATATATTTTATATTATAGTAATTAATATAAATTATATTTTAGAATATATATATATATATATATATATATATATATATAATTTTACATAAAAATATACTGTTAATAAATGAGATTTTACATAAAATAATAATTTACAATTATATTATTAGTTTTCATAATTATTTGTTATTATTAGTCAATATTAATTATTATTTTATATTTTATAATTATTTAATTATTAGTCAAATAATTTATTTAATATGTCAAAATTATTTTTTTATGGATATGCAATGTACATAATTTTGTAATTGTTTATTTATATAATTTTTAATAACTATTTTAAAAAAGTTAATTTTTTAAATTTGTTTCTAATTACAAACACTTTTAAATTTGTTTTTTCTTTTAAATATATAATTAATGTTAAAATATGGATAATTAATTACAAAATTATATTTATAATAATTTGAACCTTATTTTATACACAAGGATAAAATGGTAATTTTCTTAAATAATCAATTAAAATTATAATTTTTATATCTCAGTATCAATCAAATCATTCACAATTTTTCATAAACTTTTCTTTCACTTTCGATTCATCCAAACAACTTTAATTTTCCCTCCATTTTTCTTTAAATTCCTCCTTTTCCACACTCTCATTTCCACTCTCTCAAATCACTCCAACCAAACAAAGCCTAAAAGTATACCCTGACCTACTATTTTCTTTATTTTATTAAGTACTTGACCTATCAAGTAGATATAATATGAAAAAAGTTTACAACGTAATTTAGAAGTTGTTTAGCTCTAATCATGCGCCAATCAAGGGATTTGTTTTGAATTACATTACACTAATATTTCTTAATTATGTTTTTTATTTATTTTTTATGTTGCTTAGAGTATAAAAATTGAATTAAGAAGAGTGGGAAGGTTTTTTTGGACAAGTATGTGAATCCAAGACTTTTGTCTTACATGATCGATGATTAAAGTATGAAGGGTAGAGAGATGTTCACGTGTAATCCATGATGAACTTGCGGCTACACTTCTTCTCCAAGCAATCAAAATTAAGAATTTTGGAAGAACGTTCATCATATTTTATTTATATGTTAGTTTATGCATGTGCTGCTTGAAACTCACGTCAAACTTTAATTTAAAAACAGTTTCTGTCTCTAAATATTCTGAGAAGATTTTAGCTCAAATTCAGGTATAAAGCTTAATTTAATGTAATTTATTAACACTTTTTTACTGCTTTAGTTATTAAATATATATCTAAATTATATATTTAAGTAATTTTACTATATATCTTAGTAAGGAAAAAAAATTATACCATATTTTATTACAATAAATTATATAATTAATTCATCATGTGCATCTTAATATATAATTTGCCCTAAATAATATTTAATAGAAAACTTTGATCACCAGTGAATAGTAAATTATAATTTTGATGTGATAAACTTACATTTATATGTTTTTAATAAAGTTTCTCACATTTCCTATTTTATTTAATTATTTTAATTTTATATTTAAAGCTTTAATTTTATTCATTTATTAATTAACATGAAATTTATAAATAAAATATAAATATAAATACCACTTTGTTAAAAATATAAAAAAATGAGTATCATTTGTTAAAAAATAAACATCTCTTTAAAAATTTAGAGATGTATAAATATTATGTTATAAAAATATACCAGAAGTAAATGTTATTTTTAAAACTATATGGAATTTAATTGTTATATACAGATAATATTCCGATAGACAAGTAGAATTTGACAAAACAATATATTTTTTTATATTTATATATTTTAACTATAATAACAATAAAATATTTCTGTTGTTATCATTATTTTCATTATATCCAAAATATTTATTGTTGATTTTATTGTTGATTGATTTGAGTATAGATTTGGGTTGAAGGAAGGTGAATTCTATATCTTACAGATCCACCTCTAAAATAGTGTAAAAGAAAAAAAAAAGATGGTTGAATTATAAATATCTAAATTATTTTATTAACTCATTTATATAAATATTTCATTCCATCTTTATTATACTAAAAATATTATATTTAATTATCTTATATTCAATCTTTTACAGTAACAAATTCACTCAAATTCTTTTAAATTTAATATCTTTTCTTCCATCAAAATAACTCTACAAATCACCTCATTGCCTTAAATTCCCTCCCGGTCTGAACACATGCTTAATTCACCAAAAATTAATGAAAAGATGACATCCATGATATCACTCGATTTGTTTCGTAAAATATTCACGTTGCTTATGGCATCTCTTTTTCGTATGCACGCTTTTTACATTAGATGCTCATATTATTTGAGAATAAATGATATTTTTGTTGAAATGATAATTTTATCTTAACATTAGTTTTATAGCACATTTTTAAAAAATAACTATTGGCAACATCAGTAGATAGCAATTTTTAAGCAATTAATGAGTTAACCACTTTTTTTATCACTAATCAATAGGAACTCGTTAGATAATACAATTAAAACATGAGGATTAAGATATTAATCTTTCCTCCTCTAGTCTCTATTAATTTCCATAAATCAAAAGCCAATAACTAGAGAGATAAAAAAGAACAAAGGAAACAGTTGTTCCTCCACTTTCCATCACGCGCACCCTCTTGGGGCAAACCCAATCCGAGAACCCGCCAAATCAAACACGACCCGAAATCCTTGCTGTTGGATATTCCCGATAATAGAAAGCCCATTCTTCGTTCCGGCGAATGCAAAGCAGAATTTGCCGCTATTATCCACCGGAATGACATAGTTTGACGCCGGCAATGACACGTCAGCACCGCGAAAATGCAACACCACGGTCGGAACCTTAACCTCCGACAACCCAGAAAGATCGTAACAAGTGTCGAAAAGGCTGAACTCGGGCGCGGACTTCAAATGCGAAGCCCTGACCCGAAACGCGTCTCTGAGAGCCACGTAAGCAGGGCGCGTGAGGCGCGTCACAGAAGTCCCCGAGTCGATAATCACCCCACCGTTCCCGGTTGAGTCGAACCGAAAGAGCGAGGCTGAAATGCCCCGAACTGGCGCGCCGCCAACGCTAATGCTGAGTAAGTCGAGATAATAAAAGGTATCATATTTAGGGTTATTAATTATAGGAGTGTAACGCGCTGTTCGCGAAATGGCCGAGTCTCCAAATACAATTGAAGACGGTTTGGTGGAAGCGGTTCGGTCCGCTAAACAGTAGGAGAATTTGTTGTTGAACCGGTTTCCGGTTTGGGTTGGAAACGACAACCCACCGCGACCTAAGCCCAACAAACCTGCGGCGCCCACGAAGAGACCCTCGTTGTCGTGGCCGCAGCCCAGGGCTACGCCCGGGACTTGGGCACGTCGGAACGTGAGTGTTTCCGTTGAAAAATCGCCGAAGGTGGAAGAGCTGTCGCCGTAGGAAACCTCGTACTGGCAACTGCTGCTTTCCCGATTGCATCCCGGCGATTCGAGGCGGCGACAGAGAGGGGAGGAGCAGGGTATTCGGGCGAAAGATGAAGACTTTGAGGGATCGAAGATTTGGTCTGTTTGGGAGTAGCATTTAACGCAGGGTTTGCATTGGAGCCAAACGATGTCGCTTCCGGTGTCGAGTACCATGTAGACATACTTCGGAGGGGTTCCCACGCCTAGGCGCGTGAAGTACTCGCCGCTATTCATTGCGAGACCCGAAATCACGGAACTGCTGAAACCTGAACCAGAAGTGATGGGTCGGGTTTGGTTAAGCGCGGCGAGGGAAGTGAGGCTTTTGACTCTTGCAGCATCGCGTTGGAGTCTTAGGTGGAAGAGTTGGGAGGGGGTTTTGTTGAGCGAAAGTGCGTCTATGTGATGTAGGGGAACGGAGAGGGTGGAAAGGTCGGGTTCCGGATCGGATCCTGAGGTGGTGGATTCCGGCCAGACGAGTGTGGGTGGGTTGGGGAGGTCACGGAGGATGAGGGTTTGGGAGTGAAGTGGGTCAGTCAAAATGGCGGAGACACAGAGAAAGAAGGTTAACAATGAAGAGAAAAAAAGGTACTTCAGTTTCTCTTCCATTGTGGAGTGAGTGAGTGAAGTGAGAGAGACAGAGAGGAAAATGGGACAAGAATTCCTACTGGTTGAAAGGGGATTATATAAAGAATGAAAAGGTTTTTAGGACCATTTGCTTCTTTTTTTTATTATATTTTTTCAACTTGGGTATTTCCTAATATAGAATTAAATATCATGCTTCTTAATAGATCATCTTCTTTAAAGTATAAAATGAGAATTTTAATCTTGGTTTATATGTATTAAAATAATATTTGATTAAATAAATTTTAATGTTTCAAAAATGCATTAAAAAAATTCGAATGAAACAATATAATTTCTTAAATAATTTGTATGTTTTAAGAAATAGTAATTTTTTTCTCTTTTCTTGTTAGACAAAAACTAATACTATATTTGATGACTAAAAAAATCTTATTTATATAAAGATAAATTTTTTATAAATTATATGCTTCATGTAAGAATGATTTGGTGATACATTTGATAAACACAATCACATACTTGCATCGATTTCGAAGGCAAAGCAAAGGCTATTATTTCGGTTTCTTACTTTTTGTTGAGTGAACGGCCTCTGTTAATTTAAGTGGTGTAGAAAATTATTATTTTGGGCATGTGTAAGGAAGAAAGTTTGAAAATTTGAGAAGATTAATTTAACTTAAATGATTTGCTTTAATGCTTGGTTGGTGAAAGTTTGGTTTGTACTTCTGAAAATGCTTTTATGTGTATAGGGGGTATTTATGAAGGTGAGTGTGAATTTGTTTATTTCAAATCATTATTAATTTTCTGGGAAAAACTTGAAACAAAGACGCCATAATACGTTGAAGCTAAATACACCTTAAAATAAACTAATTCATTTCCGCACACAATTCTTTATGCTGAGTGCAGTAAATGGAATGAATGTCTTGTTGTTCTTGAAAGATGTAGCGATGTGAATGTGTTTTTGGACTGGAATGTATTATTCTATGGCTGATGATGCGGAAAACTTGTCAGATTTTAATATCATTCTCAGAAAATTTCAATGTGCAAAACTTACTCATTAAAGTGACACCTTTGTTTCCTCCTCATCCTCATGCTTTTAAAGTGAGGTCACTTTCTTCATATCTAAACAAAAACACATCATTTTTTTTTTTTGAGTTCTGTTTGAGAATATTATTATATTAAAAAAAAACGTTAGAAAGTACACTTTTATTAGGATAGAGTATAATATTATATTATTATTTAACTTAATTCTTAAAAAATATTAACAAAATAAAATTTGTATTAATTTATATGTTATCATTTTATCATATTTTTTAAAAAACATTATGAGAGTTTAATGTTAATGAGATTAATTAGAATTTTATTCATGACGATAATACAATTTCTATAACTTGTGGGGATGAGATTATTGTTTATTATTTTAAATTATATAAATTTGTTTCACGCATTTTCAAAAATACCATATCTAAGCAGGATTTTAATTGTTCTTTATTTTTATTAGGATATATTAACGGGATTGTGTTAGAGAAGTTTTTAAAAACAAAATATATAATTTTAATATGAATCCCATAATTAAAATGACTTGAAACATATCATAATTAATTACTATCATGTCCATATTAAAATAATTTATTTTTTCTTAGAAACTCTTATGAATTTTTATAAACATCTTTCTTAGATTTTGAAAATTTAGACACTACATATTAATAATTACTATGTTCAATTATCTCTCACTTAAAAATCACATAACAGTACGTTTACTACTATAATTTCAATTTGGTGTTTTTTTTGTACTTATAATGTTATATATATATATATATATATATATATATATATATATATATATATATATATATATATATTTATGAAAATTATTAAAATCTCATTAAATGAATCAATGATTAAAAGTACAAATAAGGGAATGGTTAAGACTTATACTTACTATATTTATATTAACAATGGTTTGATTTATTTGATATATCATGTTTATATTTGATTTGGTTATCTATTATTATTAGTGTAGTTAATAAATGTAATAATATTGAATTTTTTATTTATTAATTAACTATTAGTGTAGTTAATTAATTTTGTAGTTGTAAACACTTGTTATATATATAATTACAAAATAAAAATCAGGTTACGTTTAGTATCTGTTTGACATATTTTAAATTAGTGTAGCGTTGGTCGTTTTAGCGTTAATTTTAGATAAAAAGAATATATTAGATTAGAAAAAAAATTATAATTTAAATTTAATTATATTTATTTTATTTATATTATAGTTTACATGAATTTAAATTAAATTAATTCGAAAATTTATGGACGGATTTATTTTATAAAATAAGAATTTTTTAAAAATAAGTATAAAATAATCTTATTTTATTAAAAAATATATATATATATATATATTATAAATTAATTTAATCAAATATTAACTTATTTTAAAATAAATTTATAATCTGATCATTAATATGAATTATTATTTTAAATAATTAATTAATTAAAAAATAATTAAAAAATTTAAATGTGATTTATTTGTGTATTAGTTTACTAGTCAAATTATACTAAAAATTATAATTTATTTAAAAATATAAATTAGACTAAATAATTAATTTATTTTACTTGAATCATAAAAATAAGACAGTTTGAAACAAATTTTCTATTTTGATAACGTTACCAAATAAATCAAGAACAAGATAAATTCACTTATTGATTTGTTTAAAAAAATACTTATATAATAAAAAAATTATAATTAAAATATTATATTTTTTTATTATGTTATTAAATATTGATTAAATTTAAATTATTAATCATAATTAAATATTTTAACTCACTAACATAATATTTTTCTAATTTATTTAATAAAAATATTAATTAAAAAATAAATTTTAAAATAAATTTATATAATTAAGAATGTATTTAAAATATATATATATAATTAATAATATATTTATATATATATATATATATATATATATATATATATATATATATATATATTAGAATATTATAATTCACTTCATCCATTTTTTACAAGCAAAAATGAGAGAAATGAAAACCAAACGAATTGAACCATTTTACGATTAGTTAGGGAATATGGTAAAATGGAAGATGAAAGATTGTTGAACCACTTAATGCACACACATCCCTTAATGACTTAGTTGTGACTTATCATGCTCATTGCAATTACTTACAAGAATTTAAATTAAACTTGTATTTGTGGTAACAACTTGTTTCTGTTTCGAGTTTGATGAAAAAAATTTGAGTTTGACTGAGGGAGGGCGAATTCGAGTTTTTTCCACTTTAAAAATTGGGAACGGGGACATGAATGAGTAATGCAATCTTCATTCTGACCTCGTCCTCGTCCCGACTTTATATTTAAATTTAAATTTTAAAATATTAATATTTTAAAAGTATTTATTTTTCTGTTTTTATTATATATAATGTCATTTTTTTATATTTCACCATTTTTATTTTTATTTTACCTACTTTATAATTTTTATATCCTTTTTAATCTTTTATATCAATTAATTCATTATATTATTCTCTCTCTTACCTTTTTATTTTTCACATTTCCTTAATCTCTCCCATCAATTTTTTTTAATCTTTTCAAATAATTTGATGAACACAAAGTAAATTTTTTTTTATCTTTTTCTAAATATTTTATAAATTTTAGTAATAACTAATGTTATTTTATTTATAATTTATATTTATTAGGTTTTATTATGTCATAATTTTTTATCTTATTATTCTTATTTATCATATATCAAATTTTATCTTAATAAAATAATTGTATTTTAAAATATTAAAAAAATTGATAATTTAAACTTTTATTACCTCGAACTAATTAAATAAGAATTAACTTATTAAATATTTCTTTATAAACTATATATTTCATATTTTTAAATGACAACTTAAAAATGAATTAACTTATATATGTAATCAAATGTTTGAATACAGTATAATAATAATAATAATAATAATGTTATAAGTATTCAAATATTTGAATACAATGTTATAATAATAATAATGTTATAAATATTCTATATATATATATATATAAAATAAAAAATGATTAAATATTTCTTTTACATACATATTTTAATATAAATATAATAAATTAAAAAAATATATATATTTAATTAATAATAATTATAAAATTATAAATATTTATTTATATATAAAAAATATATAGTAAAATTAGTTTATTATAAATGTAATTATCTCTTTAAAAATTATATAGATCGGAGACAGAGCGGGGACGGAGAACCCCGAAACCTAGCAAGAGCGAGGATGAGAAATTAATTTATAACCCCAACGGGATCAAGGACGAGAATGAAGATAGTTAAAAAAGTCAAGGACAAAAATCGGAGAGGCAAAATCCGTCATCGCCTCGTTGTCATGCCCACTTCGCCTCACCATCCTCACACATTAATACCACTTCCCCTTCTACAATGCATACTTTGTGTTCTTAAATATTAAATATTTTATTTAAGATTGTTCTACATAAATTAAAATTATTTTTTGTTATATTTTTAATAATTTGTTTTTTATTATTTTCTCTCAATATTAAAAATAAAGATATAAATGATAAAAAATAATTAATGTAATATTAAATTAATATTTTTAGAAATGATTTTCTTTCAAAAACCACTAAAAAAAAGTCTATTATCTATAAGACAAAAATCTATAGGTAATGCACTTGCTTGAAATCGAATCCGGTACCTTAAAATTAAAGACTGATATTTCAATCACTAATCTATTAGGATATTATGATAATAATATACAAATAAATTATATTTATATTTATCCAGTGTAAATATATAAATATATAATATATTTATATATAAATATATTTATATATTTAGATGAATATATGTTTATTTGTAAATAAATATAACTTATTTGTAAGTTATTATAAAAAAAATTTAATGGTTTAATAGATGGAGTATCAGTTTTTAATTTTAAGGTATTGAGTTTGAATTCTGTGAGTCACAATTCTTTTAATTTGATATAATTCAGTAGGTAAAATTACC